GTTAAAAACGTGTGCGAGGGACATATGAGTCGATGACGCAATGTATATGCCTGCACGGAGGCGTATTGACTCCAATATGTGAGAGGGATCGCTGCTACTTTATAAGGAGCACCTTCCTCAATACACTCCCGCTGACTTCGAGAAAAAGAGAGAAAGAGAATGCGCGTTTTCTTCGTTTCACTGGGCTTTCACCGACAAATTTATTTCATCCGGCTTCTCACTTGCGACTAATGAGTGGTCAAAATGGGTGAGGATAAGTTGAAAATCACTGAATAGAGGAACTAATTATGGAATTGATTATTATTTAAAGAATTTCATCATTGTAAATTCGCAGTTTGATTGAAAAGTCTGTGGAAGATGTCAATTTCAGCTCAATTATTCCATAAAAATCATCGTAAATTCATAGAAATCCGAAAAATTCAGGTAAAAATATTCTGGAATTTTTGTTTAATTAATAGATCAGCCTCATTTCCTACTAAATATTCAGATAAATTGGACAATTTTTGTTATTCTGCTGCTCAAAAATGTAAAATTCCATTAAATTTCCCGTAAAATTTGAAATTTCATGAAATTCAATTTCACTCTCCGAAAATTACTAGTCAATTGTGGATGGAATTTCAATTCTTTCGTAACAGTTCATTATTAAATACTGATTATATTATTTGCTCTTAGAGTATTACCACAGCTAAATGATTGAAATTGATCTATTTTCAACTCAACTTTGTTATCGCAGAATGTTGAAGGCCTCCCACCGTCAAAAAGTAAGTTTACAAACTGTGTTTTAAGCCAAGTGATTTACTGTTTGGCTGGCGATTGTTTGCTTTGGCAAAATACGTATGCTCAAGTGAGCAAAGGCCGCTGAGTGTGACCCAGCCGTTGACCATGTGGGCGCCAGGCGCATTGCGAAAGGCTCCCGTGTGTCACCCAGCGGGAGGGGCAGGTAAACACCACCCTTTTGCTCTCCGTCCTCAGAATAGCCACTGGATGTTTTAGAGACTCAAAGGAGACGTAAACCTGTTTTCCGGGTTCTCGCAGGATTCATCTCAATCGTATTTACTTTTATGATTGAAAAATCAACTCTCGGATCATGAGTCGCGTGCGTCAATGGGTAATTGATACGCGGAACAAAGAGAATGAACTGTTGGAATCGAATTAATCATCTCGGCGTAATCGGATTAATTAATTATGGATATATTTAACATGAGGATTAATCTCAGTCGGTCTTGGTTGACGCTGCACGACGACCCAGTTTCAACTCTCGACCCAGCCATTAAAACCATTAAATCGATTAATTGCGTAAGACGATCGCCAATTGGTCACGGAGACATTGCGCGACTTTGAGACAAAAAATTTATGATCACTTTTCGTTCCACCTCGTTTTTTTTCCCCGCCCTATTGGTAATTATCGGAACAATAAAATGAAACTTTCCGGGGGTTTTTCTCGGAGCCTTGGGGAGGTCGAACATGTGTTTGGAAGCCACTCGTGTGATGCGCACTCAACAATGAATTTTTGACAAGGGCCAGAAGGACACTGCGCTCTCACCATATGGCGGATCTATGGAGACGGAGACTACCGGAGTCGAAAAATCGTTTTACGGTTTCAGGAAGGATGCGAGGGACATTTTGCCGACCGGAGGGACTGAAATAACCGGCACGTGTTGCGTTGTATCTTCTCTTGTTGTTTTGTGCAGCGCGGGAATGCGATAACTCGTATAACACTGGAGCGTTAATCCAGGAATTGATATGAAAGGGTCTGAATGACTTTTGGGAACAAAGCACCGGGCGAGGGATATAAAAGGGGGCTCTCTAATTTCGTTGACTCGTGCCCGCGATGAGGTCATTTCAAATGGGTATTTTGATGACAACTGGGGGCTCCTGTGTCTTCGGGGAAATCGGACTTGAGGGGATGCATCGGAAATGTCCCTCCAGGAGCCAGTCAGCCTTAATTAATGAATGGATTGTTTTTTTATTACGGCGACTTGATAACTCACGTTTCACGAGCCCTCGTATTTCATTCCATCTTGTTGTAGACAGGTGAGACCACAATTTTTGTAACAAGAGGAATTGCGTCTGGTGGATGTGCATAATGTGCCCTTGAGGCATTCTCTCGAGGAGGGTATAATAACGGCTGGGCTGCCGGCCGTCTTGGAGCACGTGCCTCACGCGAGCCTCATTATCCTTTCCGCGGGTTACAACTCATCTTATCTCACCTCTTTATTCACTCCAGCGTATCAACAAAATTTCCTCGTCGGGGATTTGAAAAATTGAGGTGATGGGAATTCATCGGGTGGATTATTATTCTCGGGGTATTCGCTATGTGCGCGTGACAGTGGAATTAAGCACCGGAAATACGAGAGAAGGGGGGCTTTTTTTCATTGTCACGTGTGTGAACATTCAGGCGATTTAGCAAAATGGTGAGTGAATTTTTTTCCCATTATTTGTTGTCAAACATCGGAGATTCTCTTTGAGGTCTGTTCAACCCCAGATTACTGAACATTTTGCAATGATTTTACTCATCAGGAAGCACTTAAGGACGTCGAAATCGACTGCTTGCGAAAAAATAGAATTTTTGAACGACAAAATAATTTTCATTTCGTAATTAATGAGAAAAAATGTGAAAAAAAATTATTCCTGATTTTTTTTTCAAAATTTTCTCACACAATCTATTTGTCAGATTTAATGACTAAAAATTTGATTAATTGTCATATCTATTGACTAAATCCATAATTTAAATTTTCAAAGCATCGCGAGGAAATTTTCTAACCGTACATTAGCGAGATCGGGTTTCCTTATTCGTATTATTTTCCGTATCAGCGAGGCGCGTCAGTGAGATAAGACTCCCAGGTAAATTGCGTTAAAAAAATGCAATTCGTGACGATCGAGTACCACCTCGCCACTCGATCCAACCATTATGTTTGCCGAGTTCAATGAGATAAATTGTTTTAAATTACAGTTTACAGTAATTCGGTCATCACTTACGAAATCACTCTGAATTGATAATTCCTATATTTAGAGGATCGATTCAGGGAATGGTCAAACAAGAATATGCGTCAGCTGATTCCGGGTAAAGAGACACGTCAGCCGATGAATCTAGGTCTGACGTTTTTTTCTTTTTCATCGAGTAATGCACGTGAAAATCATGAATTGAAAAAGAAATATCAATGGCATCGACTAAAAATCGACCTCTTTCGCTTGGTTTGCGTCCGAATCCGCCTACGCATTCTAACACCCACTCGAGTATTCCACATGCGTGTGTTTTATTCTCAACGAAACAACTCGACAGGAGGTCAGATCTTAATTTGGTGTTTAACCGAAATGAAAAGCGAATGGAGGTGAATGTTAGGTTGACGATTGAGGTGCAAACAAGTGTTGCAATGACACTTGGATGCATAACTGGTGGGTTTCATTCATGAAGTACACGAAGGGAATGCCCCGGTGAAGATGAATCGTAAAGATTGGAGAAAAAATGGTAATCGAAGGCTGCAACAAACGCTCACGTATATCACGTCCCAACGGTTTACCCACGCGTCTCACTTTTTTTCTTTCTTCTCCTGTTATCTTCTCAATCAAATGCACTCAAACTCTACATTTTTTCGGTTTATTTTTTGCTCGGGAACATTAAGGCAACTGTAGCACACACCTGTTTCACATAAATTCTTCGGTTTTATTTCGTTCTTTTGTTGTTGTCTCTTTTTTCAGGCAAATGTGGGGTAATTTTTGGGGACATTTGGTGGAATTACTGTGGGACGTGAGGGAGAGCCTGACACTTTCCTTTTTTTCTAAGAATATTTATAACTCAGGAACCATTTACTTTGCATAAAAAAAGAATTGTTGGATTTCAGCAAAATTTCAATGGATTTTACGAAAATTCAAGTGCGCATTCTCCTCTAATGTTTTTTGCGTTTTCACCTGGATAAACAAATTATGCGGAGTAATTTTTGGGACATTTGGTGGAACTATTGTGGGACACGAAGGAGAGGCGGACACTCTTGTCTTTTTTAAGAATATCCACAACTTAAGAACAATTAAATTTGAATAAAAAAAAAATTGTCGCACATCATCCAAATTTGAATGGATTTTAAAAAACTTCAAGTGCTCATTCTCCCCTAATATTTTCCGCGAAATACGATATTCGATTGTATAAATAAACGTTTGGTTTCAGCTCTATTTTCGGAATTAATGGCGAGCGTTGGAGGACTAGACGAGGCAGACTTTAACGAAGAGACAGTGTTTCCGGTTTCGATGTCCTAACGCTTAATTATTCCCAAAATTCCTGAGTAATTAGCCCTCTCATTAGCTCAAAAAGAAAAAAATCAAGGTCCTGCTTTGAATATCTCCGGGAAAATTTCAAAAATGCAGTGAGTAATAGGTGAATCCGGTGAGTGAACCTGCGCGTCAGCAAATTTCACTGCTATGACGCGCTTGTCAGCTACAAGTTCAACGAATTTTGTCACAGGAAAATGCGGTATCCGGTCTAAGTAATCACCGTCGGAGATGAAGTTGAAATGTCCCGAGCAATTTAGGGGATTTTTGAAGGTGTAATCGTTAATCAATCATACGTAGGAGAGGGTGGGCTAAAACGGACACTTTAGACTTTTTTAAAATTATTCATAACTCAGAAACAAATTGATCAATTGAGCTCAGTTTAGGCTCGTCCCAAAGGCAAAGAATTGTTCTTTGTATTGGAAAAAAAATTATTGAATTTTATCAACATTTCAACCCCTCATTAACATTTTAAAAAGTCAAAAGTGTCCGTTTTACCCCAACCTCCCCTACAAATGTTTATCAACTGCTACTTCTTAACGAACTCGTTATTAATCTCAATAAAAAATGCAGCTGAAACCAGCGGACTATTCGACAGCGAAAAATTGAATTTAGAAGACTTGAAATTATTTGGACACCATCGGAAATTCCGTCGTCGGAAATTAATCGGCCAGAAGGTCACGACGATTAAGATCAATCTTGGATAAAACTTTTTATTTATTAAAATAATTACTCACCACCCACGTCTGCTGCTGTCCCGGTATTCAGCAACAGAGAATCCAAACATTGACTTTGACTCTTTCGTGTACGACGTGTAGTGTCTCGATTCAATGTTGAATGCCTCCGTCAGCGAGATTGAACATAATCCCACCGAGAGTGCGACCAACATTGTCAATCGCAGGTCACACATTTTTTCACGCATGTTTTCCCAATGCAAAAAACTTCACTCACTTGAACACTATTCCATCCGCGACTATTCACCCGTATGATTTTAACACATCACGTGGATAAACAAATTGTCGATCGAACGGAGTCAAACAGTGGTAATCATGGGCCAGTACTCTTGCACAACGACCTGGCCAAGTTGACTTGACGGACGGCCGTGGACAGACTGAGCCGTAACAACTCCCCAGTTTGCTCTTTGAGTTGAAGCTCTTCACGCGAGAACTCCCACCCACCGTCACGTTTCGACGTCTACGAATACACATGGGGGAGAGACAGGACCCGGGGACTATCATGTGAATACGAGACACTCTTTCCGACATTTTTTTCGCCCCTATGCTGTGGGTTTTCATGGATTTTTGAATTTATTCGATGGAGATTTCAGGGAATTGGGGGAATTGATAAAAATGAGTGGGGAATGTCTTTTGAGGCCTCATTCGATTGTTGGGGGACGGATTCGTCAGTTTGTCTTGTAAACATTCACAATCGTTTTCACTCATTTATTTCAATTCACTTGATTTCACTAGAAAAATACTGGAGTATGAGTGATGAGGAGTAAATGATGAATTCAGACTTTTTTTATTTTTAATAGGAGTGGGGAATCGAGAAGCTACTGCATTCACTGCTCATAACTCGTTTCATATGCATCATTTCTCATTTGCCGCGATATGAAACGTCATTCAAGACTCTTAAAAGTTTTCCCCTGAAATTTTCAGTACACTTATTGCATATTTTCATCTCATCGAAGTTCTCAATTCTAGTTCAATTATTGCACGAAATGAATGAAAATCCTGCCGTTCAAAACTTGGAATTGCATTGAATTTTCGTATGTGATACCACAAGAGCTCCAAAATTATCAGGGATTTTCCGATAGGTTCGTTGCAAACAATCGAAGGAGTCAAGTTTTTCAGGTTAAAAAATTATCATTTAAATCCCGTGTTGACTATATAAAATAACAGTCGAGCAGCGAAATTCTATTGGCTGAAATTAGATGGGAAGAATTCTCCCGAAATTCGATGATTTTTTTCCCTTTTAGAACGAATTCAGTAGTGAAGTGGTAAAATGGTTCAAGTCGACTTATTTCTCAGTTGAGTTTTTGAAGAATATCTCCAAATCTAAAGGAGATAATGAAATTTTCGTAATAACCTTTTTTCTAGAGCAAATTGAGTGCTGCAAAAAAGGTCTTCACAAAAATTTCGCTATCTCCCTTAGATTCCGAGGTATTCACTAAAAACTGGCCAATAATCAAAATCGACTTGAACCGTTTTACCACTTCGCTACTGAATTTATTGTCCCTCTCCTCACAAAATCCTAGTCAAGTCCCCAAACTTTCAATTCTTCCCCGACAACGAAGACCTCAATTAAAGTAAATATTAATCTCCCCCATTTGCAAATGGCTTACGATATGTCACAGTTATTCGCAGATAATAAACATTACTCACGCGATCCTGACTGATCTCATCCTCTATTCGCATATTCCGAATGATTTTTCCATCACAACTGATAAGACGCGATAACACCTCTCGATTCATCTGCAAGGTGCTGGTTGTTGACATTGTGACAAATGACGATGGAGCGCGGGAAACTGCTATTACTGCCGTACCCCACCAGATGTCGCACACGAACGGGCGAGAATTTGAAATTTCGGCGGTAAGGAAGAAATTTCGATATTTCAATTGATCTATCCGAGTTCAATGGGACTCGGGGGTTATGAGAACTCTCTTTATGCTGGTGGCACGCTCGCGAGTAATAGGTCCCTGATATCAACACTGATAACGACTATCATCCGTCACACAGGGTATCGCACTGGACAATTATATGATTAATTAATTTCGTTCCCCTCGTTCCGACCAGGAGAGTCATAATGAGTTGGCAGTTGGCATGTTTTATTTTCCATTCGCTTCAACTTTTTCAGTAGATGAATAGAGATAGGCTGAGCCATGTAGGGAAGTGCCAACATGCAATAGATTTCTAATCCAATGTATTGCGCAAGGAGTTGGTCAGAAGCCAGAGTTTTTTATTTTTCACGAGTTATGATAACCTCGTGCTGTGGGAAGTAGACGTCAGTGTTTAAAATTTCATTGACAATGTTCGTTTCTTAGGTGGTAAGGGCTAACGCTCATGTCATTGCGCATTATCAACCGGAAAGAACGGTACATCATTAGCAACAGTTCCGAATGACCGTGACCTATTTGTGAAGCAGCGAGAGATTTCGAGTGATCGCTGCAACAATGACTTCAGGTAAATTCTTTTTGCGTTCGTAATGCTGTTGAATATTCTATTTCTAATGTTCAATATGTCTCACAATGCGCGAATTGTTAGGAAATCTACGGGGAAGTGTCCTGCAGAATGTTTATAATGTAATTATAATGTTAGTTTGATCATTTTTTTTAGATAATGACGCATCGACTTTGTGCCTGCAAAAGAAGAAAACACCGACACTCACGGCGTCCGAGGGTTTACAAGACAAGGTATTTATCGAGTAGTGAATACGGAAAAACGAGAGTGATGAACAATGAGGAAGAAAACAAATTTTCCCCATCATTTAAAATTCATAGGTTCAATTCACATTCCACGTGTCTTTCACTCTCAGTAATGAGTTGAGCACTCGACTCGAATTCAATTTTAGTTATGTTTGATAACGTCAATTGATTAGGATCTTTAAGTCGTGAGATAAGAATATTGATATTGAAATCGTTAATATTCCTAAACATTTGAAGATAGTTATGCGAGGGAATTCGGTCAGTCACGTTGTAATTACGCTCAAGAAAAATCAATTCTGAGTTAACTAACGATATGGATATGAATTTATCGAATCGGGTAAATAGCACCTTGAGTTATGAAAAATGAATTGAATTGTAAGAATTTCAGGAGTGAAGTGATAATTTAGTTTTTCGTCTCTCACATTCCACGTTTGTGTCACCTCTCAGTAATGAGATGAGCGGTCGATCGTTAAGTCCCCGTATTTTCGATAAAATCAATCGATTTGGATCTTTAAGTCGTGAGATAAGAACATTGATATTGAAATCGTTAATGTTCCTAAAAATTTGAAGATAGATATGTGAGGAGATTCGGTCAGTCACGTTGCAGTTACACTCAAGAAAAGTTAATCCTGGGTTAATGAACGATACGGATATGAACTTATCGAATCGGGTAAATAGCGCCTTTGAGTTATGAAAAATGAATTGAATTGGGTAAATAGCGCCTTTGAGTTATGAAAAATGAATTGAATTGTGAGAATTTCAGGACTGAAGTGATAATTAAGTTTTTCGTCTCTCATATTCCGCGTTTGTGTCACCTCTCCGTAATGAGATGAGCGGTCGATCGTTAAGTCCCCGTATTTTCGATAAAATTAATCGATTTGGATCTTTAAGTCGTGAGATAGGAATATTGATATTGAAATCGTTAATATTCCTAAACATTTGAAGATAGTTATGCGAGGGGATTCGGTCAGTCACGTTGTAATTAAGCTCAAGAAAAGTTAATCCTGGGTTAATGAACGATACGGATATGAATTTATCGAATCGGGTAAATAGCACCTTGAGTTATGAAAAATGAATTGAATTGTGAGAATTTTAAGAGTGAAGTGATAATTTAGTTTTTCGTTTCTCACATTCCACGTTTGTGTCACCTCTCCGTAATGAGATGAGCGGTCGATCGTTAAGTCCCCGTATTTTCGATAAAATTAATCGATTTGGATCTTTAAGTCGTGAGATAAGAATATTGATATTGAAATCGTTAATATTTTAGAAAATTTGAAAATACATATGTGAGGGGATTCGGCCAGTCACATTGTGGCCACGTTTCATCAGACTCAACCCCGGGTCAATTATCGATATAAAACGAATTTATCGAATCGGATATAAAACACTGATATAATAAAATTAATTGAATTGCGAGCACTTCAGGAGTTGAGTGATAATTCATTTCTTTGCGTGTCGTTGAAGACTCAATCCCCTTGATAATGAGCGACTGCATGAAGAATTGCAGTTCAAAAACATTTCAGACCCCCGTCGAAATAAAACAATTTCATTTCGGCATATCTGTCACCTCTGAGTGCTCCATCGCCGCAATTTTGATAACAAAATGTCTCTTAAAATTTGCCCCCAGAATTTCTCATTTGAAGACACATAGATATTCAAGATTCTAAATTAGAATTGATCCTTACCACTTGACTCTCCGACATTTCCAGAAGGATGAGGATGAGAAGCATGAGGAGATTGACGACGAGCATTCGAATGTCAGTGGCTGGACTCCTCTCGTCGTTCTCGGAGGAGTCACTTGTTGTTTCGGCTCAGCACTGCCAGCGGGCTTCAACATCGGTGTTATGAACAATCCAGCAGAGGTGAGGCATCCCAAAAAAAAAATGGATAGTGCAATCTTCTTCTCACATCACTTTCAATTATTCTTCATAAATTACTAGGAAGAACTGAGGAATCAATTCTTTGCAACAAGGATTGATTTTTCCAAAACAGAATGAGAATGAAAATAGTTTGCTTCAAATAACTTAACTCTTTGCTCCTCTCCACTAGATCATGCAAGCATTCTGCAACGCAAGCTTCCAACAGCGATACGACGTACATTTAGACGAAACTGAATTGAACATAATCTGGGGAGCAGTGGTGTCGATATTTCTGATCGGCGGGGTAACGGGCTCCCTCCTAGCGAGTTGGATTGCCGATAAATATGGGAGACGAGGAGCTCTTGCAATCGGAAATTTATGTGGAATTGTCGGTGCTATATTATTCCTCTTGGTTCCTACACTGAACTCAGTTGAGGTTTTAATGCTTGGACGGCTGATGGTCGGTGAGTCATGATCCTGAACATTTAGAGAAAAAAAAAGCAGAATTTATACCGAAAATGCTTCAGATTGACACAAGTCGGACCATTATTGTCACAAGAATGTTTCCACTTGAGGAAAAAAAATTTTTTTTCCTCAATTCGCGAGGGAAAATGAAATTACCTCGATTCATTTTCTTCCATCATTGATAAATGATTGCGCAGGACTCTCTGGGGGTATTGCAACGAGTGTTTTACCTACGTACGTCACGGAGATAGCACCGTTGAAGCAAAGAGGGGCAGTGGGTGTTCTTTGTCAACTGGGGATTACCGTTGGTGTATTCTTCGGCCAAGTAGCTGGTCTCCAAACTGTCCTGGGTACAGTAGACCACTGGCATCTCATGCTGGCTTCCTTCGCCCCTCTCTGCGTCATATCGTTGATAATACTAAGGATTCTACCCGAGAGCCCCAAGTATTTGTACATTACCAGACGAAAAGAGGACACAGCAATTCAAGGTCGGTGCAGAATGCCCCCATATGACACCATCTCCAAAGATTGATTTTGATTCTTTGCAACGAAAAATTATGAACTTATTCGAAAAGTTCTGAGGAGATGAATTTTATTAATTTTACTAGTCTTTCAGAGCTCCGTCGGTTACGAAATGTCAATGTTACTCTCCTTCAGAAGGAAATACGTGATCTTAGAGAAGAAGCTACTGCACGCACAACAATGGATACGTGGACAATGCGCCGTGTACTCAGTGATCCGTCCGTTAGACTGCCATTACTTCTAGTATCGTCTTTACAGTTGGGCCAGCAATTGAGTGGAATCAATGCTGTTTTTTACTACTCGAATATTATATTTAAGAAGTCGAATTTGGATGCCACTGGGGCGCAATATGCGACACTTGGGACTGGACTTATTAATATTGGCATGGCTGTCATATCCGTGTGGATGATGTCGAGGTTTGGGAGGAGACTGCTCTTTTTGAGTAGTTCCATTGCCAGTGTGGTCTGTCTTGTGGTACTTTGTGGCTCCTTAAAAGCTATCGTAAGTCAAAATATGAAATTAATTCCATTCTTTCGCAGGGATGAAAAAATTTCAGTTTTCAGACATTCACATTTTGAAATTTAAGGGATTTTGGCACATTGTCACTGACATAATTCTAAATGTTAGAAATTTTGGTCCTGAATTTCAGTGATTGAATCCTTGAAACTTAGGAATTGATCTGAAAAACTAATACTTTTTTTTCTCTGTGTTCATAAGTTAGTAGATAATTGTATTTTTTACGATGTATTTCGAAGGATTCTGCAACATTCATGCCATGGCTCTGTACAATCGCAGTTCTCGCCTACGTTTTATTCTATGGAATTGGTCTAGGGCCCATTCCCTACTTCATTGGATCTGAATTATTTGAAGTGGGACCGAGACCTGCTGCCATGTCTCTAGGTAGTGTTTGCAATTGGGGCGGTAATTTTATTGTGGGAATGCTCTTTCCACCATTGGAGACTATTATGGGGCCTTTGGTCTTCTTGTTGTTTGCGATATCCACTACATTAGTGGGACTATTTGCCAGGTATGATCACGTAATTCATGATAAAAAAAATATTAATGAATAAATGAATCAATAAATGAATAAATGAATGAATGAATTAATTTGTTCATATGTTAATAAAATGTGATACTTGCAGACACTATCTGCCAGAAACTCGAGGTGTCGACACATCACTGACAGCTTTCCGATTATCAAGGGGACTCAATTCTCGAAGGCAGGATATCGAGAGCTCGTAGAATCAATGGAAATACCGATGCTTCCACTCACTGTCATCGCACAAATACCAACGTGCCTATTATAATTTTTTTTATTCATCTATTCAACAAATACGCGATTATACAGAATGTCTAATTGTTCATAAAAGCATAAACATAATACGGTGTGCGGTGCTATTCGCATCCAGGTGGGGAAAGTTCCTTTGTACAAACCGAGTAAACCCTCTGTTTTACTTATTTTTATCAATGCGTCGAGAAAGCCACGATACAGCAGGGGTTTGCCACTTGAATCCGTGCCTAGAATCAATGAATTCTAGTGTGAAAACGTTTCTGGAGGTATTTTTATGAATTCTTAATAAAGTGGTCTATGAAAATCAACCTTGGTTGTAAAGTCTTGTTGCGATTACGTCGAATGGTTGCATTGTTAATGCCACCGAGCTACCGCCGAGGAGGGCGGAACAAAATGTGAGGGTCAGTGGACGATTATCAAAAATCTGAAACAAGTAAAATAGAGTAGAAAAGAGTTTCTTCATTCGTGCTTAAGGATGTTTATCCAAAACGACGAGCATCCGAAAACTTTTGACATTTTTTTCAAGTTCATAAGTCACAAAAAATCCATCAATTGAACCCACGAAATTACCCCATTTCTGCATGTTCATGAAGATTAAAAATTAAATGGCATTTTTAGTGCACTTCTATTTAAAAAAATATTGACTTCGTTTTGTGAAAAGTGTTGCAAGTCAAACATGAAAAGATTCAATTTACGAAAGGGATAAACATTTTTCACGTCAACTCACTTGAAACGGTCGCAACCAATCAGTTACAAGACTGAACATGGTTAATTGCGTGGCTGAACCGACGAATATCCTCGGGCAATTAGCGAAGCATCTTTGATAGAGCCCAGCAAAACCTCCCTCCCTCCACAAAGACCTGAATGCTGCAATTTCACCCGTATGTCCGTGTTGAAAACCAACAGCTATCACTTCCGCCGATTGGGCCTGCATGCGCGTCTTCACCTGCACGAAGATGAATAAAAATGAGGAAAAATGAGGGATGATCCGTCAATTGGGAATCAAATGTCATTGTCGAACGCAATATACCAGGTAAAATGGACTTCCAAGAATAGCCCCAACACACCCAGAAAATCCACTCAACACAGCAGTCCTCAATATGTCAGTTTCGCCCTTATCATTGAGGGTGAATCCATAAGTTCTTGCGGCCTTGTACGACCCCAGTCTGATTCCATTCAAAACCACCTGAAACGCAAGTGCCGAGCCCAGGCCCGACTGCAATGCTAATATCCCCTCATTCTTCGCTATTACGTATCCCGCGTGAAATGTATTCTTGTAGAATTTTTGGTATGTCCCCCGTGCCTCCAATTCTCCTTGAAGCTGCAGTCGGATTTTAACAACGTCTATTGGATTTGTGAAAAACCCTGCGCCCACTGCTGCCAGCGCAGCTAGAGTAAATTCTGCAGCTAATCTGCAAAAATAAGCGACTCAGACCCTTTTCCACAATCTTTATCACTTCTGTAACGATTGAAATTAAAATTTCACGATGAATGTTGTTCGAATGATGTTCGAATCATCAAATATTCAATAACATTTTTGATTTACTGGTCTTTAAAATTTTATTCCCCACTGGAAAAACGAGTTTTTGTAAAGCTGCAAAAAAAATAAATTCGAACAAATTATTGAGAGAAGATAAAAAATTTCAGATCTCCCGCCGAATGCCGCGATTTTAAATGAGGGCGCCTCAAACTTTAATCAATTGACATGTTAAAACATACATAGATATCTACAATGATGTATTTTCGCAATTCGATGGCATCATTCAATATTATTCATGTTTATTGTCGAATGTATTTCATAGCCCCTCAAATTACCCCCAAAAATTCTCAATTTTCGAAAATTATTTTTGACGCAGTGGATTGCATAATAGGCGAAATTGTATCACCGAATAATGATTGTGCATGGCCATGGTCTATACTCGGAAGTCATTAAACTGTACCAAAGTGAATTAACGAGTGCATCCAAATGGATTTTTTTACATGAGCTTCACGTGTACTTGAACCCCCTTTTTTACAGTGAATTTCCATTAATGATTAAAAACGTGTAAATTTACTCACGGTTTTTGTGTTGAAACGTTGTCCGCCGTCATTATTATTGCCGGGGTTTTCTAACAACTGGTTCTCTTGGAATAGCGGTTAAATATTTGGGAAACTGCATGGGTTGAGCAGATGGAGAACTAGCGGACTAACTGAACCATCGGTATTGACTAAAATTCCTTATCTCGAACATTTCATACACAGCCTGTAAACATTGAAATTTCGTCGATGCTTCCGTATGGATGATGTAATTGCATCGAAATTATCATTCGTGTTTTCACGAATGATAGGGCAAGACCACCATCTACGAAGAATTTCAAAGATAAATGATTTCGATTGTTGGCATCCCAAATTGACTGTGTCATTGGCTGATTTTGGGCACGTGCCAATTGCGAAAAGTGCTGAGTATTCATGGAAAAAAAATCATTGCAGAGTGGAAAATTTCATATTCTTGGAGAATCTAGGAAGGATATTCATATTTACGTAATTCGATATCTCTATGAGTATAAAATTTACATTTTCTCGTGATATTTATAATCATTGACTCGTCATGCTGTCGTATAATCTCTCTAATTGCTCGTAGAAACACAAACACAGGACTGTGTGAGGGGCTGATCTCATCCAAGTTGGAAAAAGCCCTTTGTATAAACCGAATATCCCTTCTGTTCTAAAAATCTGGAAAAATGCGTCGAAATAGTTGCGGTAGACCAGTGCTTTTCCACGACTATCCGTAGCTGCAACAATCATTCATCAAATAAATGATTTCATCATGGAATGCATAAAAAATCTCACCTTGATTATACAGCCTCACAGAAATAACGTCGAGGGGCTGCGTCATGAGGGCCAGAGAACTTCCACCTACTAGTGCTGAGAGGAACGTCAGAATCATGGGATGATTATCGAAAAACTAGAAAAAACAGTGACGTTTTTTTCTCTGGATTTTATATTTGATTTGACGGTTGATATTTTTTTTACTTGAAGCGCCCGTAATAAATCGCTCGCGAAACTGAACATTGTGAGTTGCGTTGATGAACCGAAGAATACGCGCGGTACATTTGCATACCAACGTTGATAAAGCCCTAAGACACCACCTTCTCTCCATAAATTTTGGAATGCCTCAACTATCGATCCATAGCCATGCTGATGGCCTACGGCTATTGTCTTCGCAGCCTGTGATTGCATTCGAATTTTTACCTATTTTATGAATTGATTATTCATCACTTAATTAATTTATTCATTCAATTGTTTCATTAATGCATTGATTGATAAATTCAAGTAAATAATTGAGGAATTTATCCATAAATTTAAAACAAAAAATTTAAAAAAATAAATAAATTCCTCAATTATTTACTTGAATTTATCAATCAATTAAAAATTTATAATTTTTTTTGCATTCAAAAATCGCATAAAAAAACGTAATCATTTTTAATTCATCAATTTTGTGAACGCCACATACCAAATAAAAAGGGCTTCCTATAACAGCGCCACAACAACCAGCTGTTCCACTGACCAAAGCAGTCCTCAATAAATCGCTTTTCCCCTTATCATTCAGAGAGAACCCATAAGTACGAGAAAATTTGTAAGAGCCTATTCGTATTCCGTTCAATGCTATCTGAAATCCAAAAGCTGGGACGAGGCCTGACTGCAGTCCTCGCATCCCCTCATTCTTCAAGACAACGTATCCAGCATGAAGGGTATTCTTATACAGCTTTTGATAGGTCCCCCTTCTCATCAATTCTCCCTGCAATTGCAGTCTCACCTTTATCACGTCTATTGGATTCGTGAATATTACTGCACCGATGGCTGATGAGGCTGCCAAGCCGAATTCAACACCTACTCTGGAGGGATTAATTTTTTTTAAATATTATTCTTTCTGCACAGGATGACGATTAAAACATTTGCCAATCCGTATTCACTGGTGATTAAATTAATCTGATAAAAGTTGATGAGATACTCTAATTAATGGATTAATGAGGGCTCACAGACAAATTTTAATGGCTTGAGATTTTTAACTGATTAATTATTGGAAGGAAAATATTTAAAAATGTGCATTAAAAATACTTACGGTCTATTACTTGTTTTATCCTTCATGATAATACCATCTGAAAGTATTTCTATTCAATATCTGAAAGGATCACACCTGCGAATGGTGGGTTATGTACCACAAGACAAGATAAATGCACCTCTATTTCACTAACCTCTCACTGCTTAATGATGTTTATATTACGATAAAAGGTAAAATCCATGACGAAAGCTTCTAGAAAATGTTTGGAATTGACTATACTACTGGATCAAACTCTAAAATAGTGAAAATATCGATTGAAAACGGTGTAATGAAAAATTGGTAATATTTAATTAGTCATACAAAAATTTATAAATATAAAGAGCTTAGTGTAGTCATTCATACCGAAGTAATTGTACATATTTTACACCTTAGGACACCACTCATTGAGCAGTAGTGGGGCCTCCACCTTTCGATATCTTTGCAATTTCCTCTTTGAATTTGGCGATAGTCTCCTTAGCTAATGTCAATTTCTCCTTGAGATCGACCACCTCGTGACGGATTTTATTCCTCGCTTCTGTGATGGCCTTCAGCGCTGATTCTTTCTTAGCCTCGACTGGAATGAATAAAATCCATCAGTTATACGTTTTTATTCTCTAGACCATTTTCACACTATTTTAACTCTTACAATCAGTCTCATGTCTCCAAACTCCCAGTGTCATAGGCCTCGTTGTGCTTAACAAATGTTGCATCAATGCCGTTGGATCTTGGAAAACAATTTCCTCGTAAAATTCTGATACTAGATTCTTTTTTCCGGTTTGTATTTCTGGGGAAGATTGGAATAGCTTCAGAATGTGGTAGATTGTCACCTAAAATCAGGTTTTTTGCATAAACAATTTATTTCATTCTCATTTTTTTCTTCCAATTTGTTTAGTGTAAATGCATGTTAAAGCTATTCAGGAGAGGAAGGGGTAAAATAAACAGTTTTGAATCATCAATAATAACTCGAAATTGACAGAGTGAAGTTTATAAATTTTTCTCATGCCCCAAAATGAGACATTATTCATTCGAATCGTATCATTTCATCAGGGAATATTGATACTTCAGAGCTTTATTTTCCCTCACTTCCTTCTACGTTCAATGAGAATTCCAAAACATTTTGTTCACTCACCGGTCGCTCGTTGGGATCCAGAAAATAAATTTTGATGACAATTTCAAATTCACCCCATCCCGTCTCTGTGAGCTCATACGGGGGTTTCGTGACAATTCTATTTGGATTGTTGTAACTCTCGTGCAACTTGAAATGCACTTTTTTCACGTATGCAGACATATCCTCGTTGTTGTATGGCTTGACGTAAACAGTCCACTGGTGAGTGTGGCCATCCTCCTCTCTCTTTTTTCCGAAATAACGAGCTACGTTGCCGTACACTAGTGGCTTGACAATTGTCAAACCCTGCAATTGCCCAGTAATTTCAATTTAAAAATCTGCATTATTATCTGTTTACAGTCACTGACATTCATTAAATTGTTTATACCATAATTATCAATATACCTTGACCCTTCCACCTGAATCTGGCCCGAATTCATTCGTTGATGCCATCATTTTTACAAAAAGTTATTAATTATACCCTTTTATCTCATTATTCAATCAACAATTGTTTATTGTCGAATTGTTATTGTCAAATGAGAGAAGGTTAGAGCGTCGTCAGAAGTCACGTTGAGAAATGCGAGAGTCGACTCTCAGCGCATGCGCAGCAAATGGGTACTCGGCGACTGTGCGTGTCGGGACAAGTAGTGGGGTTTAGGCAATGGCGTTGGCGGGTCGAGCTCCTTATGAAAAATGCAAAAATTCCTCGATTATGGCTGATTCCGGTGGTAAGACCCTAAAAAATGTTACCATCATCAGTATAAAACTCATCTCGATGACCAAAACACATAATTGAATACTTTTACCAAGAATTTTGGACAAAAAGTCATGAAATTGGTCGAACAAAGGATTATACCTACAACTAACAAATGGCCATTTCATGACGAAATAATGGCGAAAAAGTGGGAACAGCAACCCAATTGTCATTAACCCTGCATAATCGGCTTGGGATGTCGTTTATTCTTCGAATAAATAAATTGAATATGAAGAAAATGCCGGTTGCCCAGTGAACAAAGAACGCTCATGCGCAGTGCGGGGCGAGGGGAACAAAGGAGTCCCGCCAAAACCGACGCCATATTAAACTCGGGGCATTGTCGTGTATTTTTCGTGTGGAACAGTAGTGTGTGGGGACATGGCGGAGGTTGGAGCTGCGCACAGACGCCTGAAAATCGTCGAAGTAGTGAGCGCTGAGAGTGGAGGATACCCAGGAAGCGGTGCACTCGCCGGTGCCTGGTTTAAACGTAAACGAAACCAAAACGAAGGACTGAATTCAGGGGTTTTAGAGTGATTTTTGGTTGTGACGAGGATTCTCAATGATTTGGGATATTCCAGTGGACAAATAGTGTTTTTGTTGTGACTGAGGGGCTGGAGAACTAGAGGGGCGACCGGCAGCCTTTGTTTACCAACAGGTCGGTGTTGTGATTGTGGGGTGTGTTGTGCAGTGTTTAGTGTTCCAGACCGCGGCATTCGTCGAAATTGTGAAGTGATATTCTATTTGAAGCGATTTTAGTGTTAATTTTGATGAAATAAAAATGAAATTGAAGGAGAAAGTTATTTTTCTGTGGATATGTGTCTTCAAGGCTTTTTGTGGTTCAGTGTATTTTCTGTGTTTATTTTATTTATTTTTTGGGCAAAAGTGAAAATAGAATCAATTGTTTTGTGAGTGTTACTGCATTCGGGAGGATGACCGAACCCCGTGGATAATAGCCGAGGTAGGAGGTAGGAGGTACGAGAGGTGAAAACGGAGCAGTTGTTTTCATCCAACGCCGGTGAGTCAAATAAACTCCTTCATTCATTTATCTATTTTATCAATTAGGTCATTTTTGCGGCAAACAATCAGGCGAGCGTTCATCCCCTTCGTTTCCAAGGGGTTTTCCAAAAAGCAGAAAATATTGTTTTCGTTTTCAGGTGTGAATACTAGAGAATATTTTTTATATATGAAGCTGAAACTAGAGATAGGCGAATCTAGGAGCGTACAAATGTTTTTAAGTAATGTCAAAACTCTTTGGCACTTGAAAAACATTTGTATATATGATTATTTGACTCTCCTACACTTAAATATCGCCTAAATTAAATTTTCCGCAGACGAATATTCTCCTAGTTTCAGCTTCATTTTTTTATTTCATAAAAATTTCTATAAACTCGGTTTTTTTAAATTAAATGCGAGTACGAAATACCTCCAGAGAAATGGGAATCTATCGTCTTTGTTTCTTTTGAGATTTAAAAATCTCCTCGACGTGATGAAACATGAATTTTTTAACGATACGCGAAAAACAACACATTAAGTAATAATTACCAGCCAACAGCCTTTTTGATTGTACTACTTTTTAATCGTACACGAAATCATTTCTTTTACATTAGTCTAGTCATAAAAATTACAAAAATCAGTTCACAAAAATATTCATTAAAAGCCGTAGAAAACCCTTATGAATTGTACGAATCGATATCATATATTCGCTAGATCATGCTCCCTCCAGAGACTTGAATACTATTTTCGAGGAATAGTGGAGGGTTTATTCGATCGCACTGGGGCTGGGATCTTGAACACTGGCACGGCATTCGCCTTGGACTCCGTCTTCTTCCTCAACTCAGAATCAATGATTTTTTCCTTCTGCTGTTTCTTGAGCTCAATCGAAGCTCTCATCCCTCCAATTTCTCTCTCACGTTGCTTTACCTTTTCCCCGAAATCGCGTCGTTCTTTCAGATTCAGTCCAGTGGACAATTTTGGCCCTCCAATTACTGTCTTAGATTTATTCAAGTTTATCGATCTGTTCTCCTTGTTCATAGACTCATCAGACAATAATGACTTTATTACTGGTCGGGGTTTTGTTACTGACGTCTTTTTCTCTGTTGTTGACCTCATGATCAGCGGTTGTTTCTGCTGATTCAGAGAGTTTGAGTCTCTCATTGGTAGTTTCTGCTGTGTTTTTCTCTCTTGCTGATGCTGAAAATCTTTTTTCCTCGTTGTAAAGCTGAAGGGAATCGCTTGAGTCCGTTTCTTCTTCCTCGCAATATTAACTGGAATCCCAAAATTGCTGATCTTTTCTTCCTTCAGTTGAATCCCTTCCTTCGTCGAAACAACAGTTGCCACGACGTTCTTAGTCGGTAGTCTCTTCAAGGATGACGATGTCAGTGGTGCCTGCTCAATCGTTTTCTTCTTGATCTGATTATGTGTCGTTGACTGGTTCAACTGCGTCAATGACGATGTTTTAGTGACTCTGCATCTCGATTTTGTTTGTAACATGGGGGACACGCCTATCGTTGTCTTCCTTGTGGTGTTGAGGGGTTTGAGGAGGGGCTTCACTGCTTTCTTCATGTTGTCCAGGATATTTGGAGGTATTGACAGAGGAGCAGGTTTAGCACGAGGTGTTTCTGCAATTTTTTTATTCTCCGAGTCCTTTGGTTTGACTTTGTAATTGATAAGTGACTGATTGTGGTCTGATACTGGGGGATGCACTGGATCTTGTGGGTCCATTTGTTGAGGTAGGTCAACGAGGTCGTTAGATTTATTCGTCTCTTCTGAACTCTCCACACGTTCAGATGTCACATTGCCAATTTGAAGATTCTCTGATACAATTGATTGCACATTAGACTGCTCAACTTGTAAAGATTCCACGAGTTCGTCAACAAGTTCAACAAATTCATTCCTGTCTTCGGGATTGTTTTCGATGTGAAGATTCTCCGGGACGATTGAGGATTGCACATTGGGCTGCTCCACTAGGAGAGATAGTTCAACGAGTTCATCAACAAGTTCAGTTAATTCCTTCATCTCTTTTGGATTAGGGAGTTTTTCAACTTGTTCAGATAGTTCAACTACTTCCTCTGACCGTTCTGATTCATTTTCAAGTTCATCGACGAGTTGAATTGATTCCTTCATCTCCTCCGATTCATCTTCGATCTCGAGATCCTCTGGAATGATTGAAAATAGGAGACTAGGCTGCTTACTTAGGAGATCAATAAACTCCTCCATCTCCAAGTTAATGTCGTTTTGGAGATTATCTGGGACGATTGAGGACTGCAGATCAGGTTGATCAACTTGTTCCTTCATTTCTCTTGAGCCATTCTCACACTCAAGCATAAAATTATCGACTGGAGCATCCCCTTCCCCTGGATGTGCATCCTCAAGTCCTCGTTTATCGTCACTTAAAATTATGGGAGGCCTGAACTGGCAGGGTTTCCTCACCGAGGCAAGCTGCAGATTTCGTAGAGCGTTCACCAGCCCCTCATCTATACTCACTCCACATTTTTGGGGAGTAACAGCAGCCGGTGGGGCACTTCCTGAAACGTCATCACTGCTTCCAGTTAAACTCTTGAAAGATACCTCTGCAGATGAGGGGTCAATTTCGTTGAAACTCGAGTCAATGGAACGCCAGAGGGTCTCACAGGTGTCGTCCATCTCATCTATCCCTCCAAATTCAACAAATATTCAATCTAGAAGCGAAATATTTCGAAATAACTTCAAGGGTTTCGTGATTGTTTACGTGCTTTGATGGGACGTAACCTCGCGAGTGAATTCATTTCTGATTAATATCCACATACCTTCGTTTTACAGTTTAATTTGTGCACGGAGTAATCTCCGCACCTTCAGTTATGTTACAACAAAGTACTTCAACAATATTTATTGTTGTAGGTAAATTCTCGTTCGGAATTAGGGATTTGTTTGGTATTTTACTGCGAGAGCAGCCAGTGGACGTTAGAAAATTTAAATTGTGCCAACCGCTTTTGAAACTATAGTTGCGCGTCACACTCGCGCGCGTGTAGGTACAGTATGTTGTGCCAAGGGGCCAACCATAAGGACGGAAATTTCTGGATGGACACATTCTCGGCTGGTCAGATTCTGATCAGGTGGTTAAACAGGGCTCGGTATTGGAGATATCTTCAGGAAATGTCTTACCAGTCGACATGTTTATGACAGCGGCACGGTGAAAGATGGCGGGATTATTCTCATTTCAAGCGAAATTACTAACTGAATCGAACTGGCCATCGGGCAGTAGAAGGAGGCTACAAATGTCGAAATGAAAAATTTTTTTTTTCACCCGGGGCCAAAGTATCAGATGTTGGATTTTTTCAGGGAGAAAGTCGACTTTCGCCAAAATCGAATTTTTTCGCCGAGTCAAAGTTGATTCTAACTATTCAAGCAACGGGCTATCCAGAACTCTCAAAAGTATTCAGAAAAAGTGAAAAATGAAAAATTTTTTTTTTCAAATTTTCAAAGGGTCAGATTTTCCGTTTTCCAGGGAAGTCGACTTGCACCAAAATCGAATGTTTTAAGCGGGTGAACGTTGATTCCAACTATTTAAGCGACGGGCTATTCATAACACTCAAAAGTATGTGGAAAAAGTGAAAACTGAAAAAAAAATTTTTTCACCGGGGGCCAAAGTGTCAGATCTTGGCTTTTTCCAGGGGGAAAGTCGACTTTCGCCAAAATTGAATTTTTTAGCCGGGTGAACGTTGATTCCATCTATTTAAGCGATGGGCTATTCAGAACTCTCAAAAGTATGTGGAAAAAGGGAAAACTGAGAAACCGTTTTTTTTGGCCCCAGCCAAAGGGTCAGATTTTCGGGTTTTCCGGGGCAAGTGGATTTTCGCCAAAATCGAATTTTTTAGCCGGGTGAACGTTGATTCCAACTATTTAAGCGACGGGCTATTCAGAACTATCAAAAGTATGTGGAAAAAGTGAAAACTGAAAAAGTGTTTTTTTTTTTCAAATTTTCAAAGGGTCAGATTTTCCGTTTTCCAGGGCGAAAGTCGACTTGCACCAAAATCGATTTTTTTAACCGGGTGAACGTTGATTCCAACTACTTAAGCGACGGGCTATCCAGAACTCTCAAAAGTATTCGGAAAGGGTAAAAAATTTAAAAAAAATTTTCACCCGGGGCCAAAGTGTCAGACCTTGGATTTTTTCAGGGATAATAATCCCGCCATCTTTCAACGTGCCATTGCACTAGAAAATTCGATTGGTTAGACTTTTTCAGAGGACATCTGCCATATCGAGCCCTGTTTAACCACCCCATCAGAAAATCTACCCATCCGCGAATGTGACCTCAAATTTCCGTGCCCATCCGTTCCACCGCCTCCCGTACTGACGTTATTTTCCCTAGAATACAAACTAAACGACCCGGCCCTCCAACCATAAGTACTAAAAAATCCCTAGAAATCCTCAATTAGTTGTTCCTGTTTATTCGAAAAAATTGACATGTCGTCAAGTGTCGTATAAAGTTATATTGCAATGATTTTTATTGAATTTAACGCAGGATAAATTTTATAATTCATAATAATTATTTGATTGTTTCGATTATTACTTTTACCAATTACTTTGTTTCCTTTATACAATAAGGTACATTGATGAATTGATTATTAAATATTGCAATAATAACAGTAATGAAATTTTGTTACCAAGTGACATTCGACGTAGGAAGAATTTCAAGGTCCAAATAACTACAATTTAATGAACATACGTGGATTATTTATACAGATGGCAGACAGTGTTAATTTTCTGATTAATTACCATGATTGTATTGAAGTTGTTTGAATCTGCAGTTGATATGCAAAATAAAGGGTGAGGTTGTATTTTTATAAACAATTTCCCAAGGGTTTTTACCTGGGCATAAATATTCGAGACGAATAGATGTGTGAAAAAATAATATCTCCGCTATTATTTTAAACTTCCGTCAAATGATAGTACAATTAAATTGAAAATACTAATTGAAATAAGGGATAGCCATCTTTATAATCACTCTTGAGCACTTTTATCACATTATTCGCAATTTTACGTGAAAATTACGACCTATACTATTACATTTTGATGACAATTTCTCTATCGACTGTTCTTTAATCAATAAAAATACGTCATTAATTGAATAGAAACTAATTTGGCACTATTACTTTAACAAGCTCATTATAAGGACAGCCAGCTGTCTCAACAAAATGCTCCTATTATAATTTTTTTTTCTAGTAAACGATATGATTCGAAGAGACAATCAATAATACCAGACAGAAAAGGAAAGAACAAGTGGAAATAATTGATGAATATTTGATAGATTATCGTTATCAGATGTGAAGATTTCTCCCTTTGCTCCTGTATCGTTCGTCCAAATAGCCTGGAATCTGAAATAACATTTTACATGAACATATACAGACTTGAATACCCACACTGTCACAACTAATCGATAATAACAATACGACATTTTACAGTCTGTCTGTTATGTATGGTTTTTTTTTCATTAACTTCATTAAGATAGAACCGTCATGAAAAAAATGAACTTTCAAAGCAAAATTCAAGGATGATTCTGTTACATAAACAAACGTATATTTGGAGCAGCATTATGCATTGAACAAAAAAAATATTTCTACAATATTTGTTACACATTCAGTAACTAAGATCTACACCATGCTTATTTTTTAAGGATAAGAATTATTTACGAGGTAGTTTGGGAGGAATTACATACCACTATTCTGTAAAAGATCTGGAGAAAGAGAGCACAAGCAAATAACATAAATGAATAAAAGTACTGAACGAAGCAGGACACGAAGAAAAACGTTGCGACTGTTCTATGGAGAGGGTTAAGGACAAGATTATTTTATTAGAAGGTGTGTGGAGTAGATTTGACGGGGGTAATTTTCATTATAATCATCCGCTTATTTTCCTCTTCCGGAGTAACAACTAAGTGAACAAATATAAATGAATTAAAGAAACAAGGATTAAACTACGTTGTCACTTTTCAATTCATTATGATTAGCTTCTACCTTTGGTTTTGGCCGATGTGTATCCACTGCATCGATGGGCAATCGAATCCGCTCGACTTTACAACCATACGCCACTGGTGTTAATTTCATAATAGTGTGCAATGGTACTTGCAAATATGGAAGTTCGTCTGTAATATTGATTGTAACAATCAAAAGTTTACGATACAATGCTTTGCCCGACGTCATGCGTTTGAATGATAAATCAATAGGAATTGAATGGGGTTTATACCTGCACTTTTGTCGAGAAAATAAGCAAGTAGACAACGCAGCACTGCCTGATGTGTGACAACAAGAACATTACCTTGCCTCTCAAGTTCCATTATTACGGGCTCGAGTCTTGCAACTAAATCCTCGTAACTCTCTCCTCTCGGATAACGGTATGAAAATTTATTTTGGTCCCTCGCTGCAAAATCTGTTGGATATTTACTGGATATCTCCTCGTACGTCATTTCCTCGCAAATACCCTGTGAAATTAGAAGAGAATTATTGAATTGATTCAATGGAAAAATGTGAGAAAAACACCGGAAAATAATGACTCACAGCATCAATCTCGTTGAGAGCCTTCCACCTCTCCTGCGGTGCATTGACATCAGCAGCTGTTTGTATCGTTCGTTTCAGCCAACTAGTCCATACTCTCAATCCTTGTATATCCTGCTCATCAATGTACTGCGCCAGTGCCTTTCCATACAATTTTCCTCTCTCACTCAAATCAGAATCACCCCCAATTCTGCCCTCAAGGTTCATAACACTCTCACCATGTCTCGTCAAATATATTGTTCGTGGCACAATGTGTATATTCATTAAGTAATAAACTATCCTGCTTTGTATGTGGCCCTCGTGCTTATACACGAGTACTTTCTCGCCTGTATTATAAATCTTCATGAATGACAGTTCACTCTCTTTACTCTCATCCAGGGGCTGATACTTCTCCTGATAATGCTCGATTCTCTTGACGAAATCCGCCAATACCTCCTCTTTATTCATATTCGCGTAGTCTGGACTGCTGACTTTTACCTGGGAAATGTGACACAATGAATTTATTAGAAATCAATAGTGCGCGATTATTCCGAGGAATTTATCGTGATTCATTACCTCCATTATGTTCTGCTCTACAATTTCAGGATCGTCGCACACAGACTCCACGAAAAACAGTTTGAATCCCATTTTTTCAACGACAATATTGTGAATCATTTGTCGACGTTCGATTGTAGAATTTGTCGCATCAAAAACAGCTACTTCACCGTCACCACTCTCTAGCCATTGACAAACATCGTTCAGTGCATCTACAGCACACTGGGTTCTTATGGCCATAGCCTTGATATTGTCAGGACGAAAGAACTCATGACATTGATATGCTGTTGTCGCGTGCCTCCTGTATTCACCTAGATTGAATACTTTGGTGTTTATTCCAATCCAGTTGAGATATCTGCAGAGTTTTTTTGATATGTAGGTCTTCCCTCGGGCTGGCAGACCCACCATTGCTATTACATGGGGCTTGTTTACAAAATTGGCACGTTCACCTGGAAAATCCCAAGGGAATATGAATGGATAGTATTATCATTCGAAAATCCCTCGGCAATTTAATCGCCATTGGGATGAACCAAGGGCGTGAGGTTCAAGGAGAGGTTAGCGATACCATAATTTTAGAATTTGTGCATTTGGAATTGCAGTGGTAGGAGTTTATGCATGACAATGTTAGGAAATGCGCATTTCTTATCTGTTGACGCATTATATTATCTAAACTAATGTTTTCCTTCTGATAAATTAATTATACCCAAGCATGGCCGTAATGACTCTTTTCATTCGTACAATCTGAGGGCTTAGTTAAATGTTTGAGGCATTCTTTGTTAATGTTGATATTTATCCTAGGTAATGGGAAAATAATAGTCACCTCTTATGGGGAATGGTTTAGTCTGGATGGTGTCCGATGTTGGTGGTGTGTAATGCATCTCGGAACTCATCTTGAGTCGTACAAAACAAGTGTCAATTCGGTATATTTTTATTCACTCCACTATCAAGCCACAGATAATTCACAGAAATGTGACAGGAAGAGTATTCCCTCAAGGGGGGGAAAAAACGACAGTATGAAATGATATAAAAATTGAGACTCACGTCTCTCACTGAAAGACAGTCTCGTATTACCACGAGACCGCTGTAGACCACTCTCTCAAAAGCTTCCTTTTATTATGTCGAATACCGACAAATCATGTTGACTTAATCGAAAATGACAAATGTCCTTTGACCGAAGATTAGCAATGTGCAAAGTGCGTGGTCGAGTATAGCGTGAACTTACAATCGAACTGAGCTTTCGAATGGGCAGATGTGTTGAGTAAAAATTATTGAAAATGTACGCAAGCGCGCACATACACATGTAATAAGGCTTCCACTGAGTTAGATGTTTAGAGGCGCAACTTACGACTTAACGGCTCAACGCGCAACTCACTACAGACTAGAGACCACTAATAACTTGTCACGATGTTTCCGAGTTACTGGGAATATGGGCTCAATTGAATAATGCTATGTTTGGGGATTTAACGGGATGACAATGGCAATTGTTGGCATGGTGTGAGGAGAATAATTATGAATTGTTGTGATTTATGTTTTTATCGAGGGGGGTGTGACAGAGTGATGGGAAACGAGGAGGAACGGATGTAAACGTGTAGATTTTCCCGACCACTCCGAGGCTCCGAAACCGATCACGCGACCGTACTCCCTCAATCCCGCTCTCTCACTATATACCAGTTGGTGGGCTCACTAGCTTACGTCACATATCTTATATTTTTTCAGTTGTTGCTGGGCTCGCTTGGCTCACTCCTCGAATTATTTGTTTCACTCCTCCCTGGCGCTATACAAACTAAAACGCCACGAGTTGACAACAATTTTGAGATCAATTTATCCTCACATTCATAAATAATTTTTATTAAAACATACATTCGTTAAATTAATTTATAAAAGCTCTATTACAAATGTTTTTTTATGAAGGGACTAATCAATTCTGCTAAATCACTATTATTTTTCATGTGAAAATGATGAGTACCGGGCATTGTGTGAAACCGGAAGTCGGGGGAGTGTGCCTCTATCACTTCGAGTACTTCAAAATAAGATTCCTTTTTTTCGTTGTAACTCGAACTCTCGCCCTTGATGACTGCGTAGGGACATCTTATGCGACTCGCCATTTCTTTCAACTGTTCATTAGAAAATCCATTATCGAACAGGAAAAATTGTACCCTCGGGTCTCGATTGAAGGACACTGTTCCGTCCGGATGTCTCGTTGCTCCTCTCACAAATAATATTTTACACATTTCTTCATCTAGAGAATTTCTACTGCCCTCGATGTAGCGATCCATCGCATTCTGCTCTGACGTTCTTGGAGCAGGTGTTTGTAATTGCTCAATTCGAAAGAATTTCTCCCAGTCTTGGATAAATCTAGGAAGATATTTTTTGCTGTTGTAGGTCGGGTACTTGAAGTAATCAAAGGCAACAACGAATTTAACATTTTGAGGGAAGAGCGCTGTGTAATTGAAGGACATCATGCCACCCATTGAGTGTGCAATTAGTCCGACTCGGTTCATATTGTAGTGCTGCTTTATTCGATGGATTAGTTGAACGTACACTAGGTTCGCGTACATCATGCCCTTTGGCAACCAACTGGAGTAACCGTGACCGGGGAAGTCGACGGCTAGAATACTCAGATCTTTTGGAAGATGTTTGACGAGGGGATCCAATGAGCCAGCATTGTCCTGCCATCCGTGAAGTGCTATTATGGGCTCTACTTCTGGTGGACCCCAATGTTTGCCTGTAAAAATTATGATAACAATTCCGCGAATCAATTCAGTAGCGAAGTGGTAAAACGGTACAAGTCAATTTTAACTACTGACCAGTTTTCAATGAATATCTCGGAATCTAAGGGAGATGGCAAAATTTTTGTTATAACATTTTTTGTAGAGCCAATTGAAAGCTACAACAAATGTAATTACAAAAATTTCACTGTCTGGCTAAGATTCGGAAATATTCCTCAAAAACTCAACTGGGAGTCGACTTAAACCGTTTTACCACTTTGCTACTAAATTGTATCGCATGCAATTGAATGGCTTAATGTTGTTTGAACTGGATAAACCTGATTCGTTAATTTACACAATGATGGGGATGCGTTCATTGCAATCTAGAGATAACTGGTTTACTCTCACTATTTTTCCATTGTATTACGTATAAAAAAAAATTTATTAAATTCCATTGAATTTCTAGTGGAATTCTATTCCAATAGTCTTTTGATTTCTATTTCTCTGTGTGACTTGCACTACCAATTTTCTCAATTGGGTTGTCTTATTGAATTTAATAAGGGGAGACAATCAGCTCGTTAACATTATATTACCTGCTATTTTACCCCACGGAACTTCAATCTCCACTTCTCTAAATTCTCTTTCTGGTGAAATTTTCTCTGCAGTACTAATGTGTCTCTGCAACTTAATCAGAGAGACTCCAATTTCTCTCTTTCCTAATAATCGCCCCATCTTCAACAATTTAGTGGTTGCTGTCATGGCAATTCTTCGTCAGAATTATATTTTCAAATGACGGATAAACACCTCGTGGTGTTGCTTATAATGTGCCGCCTCTCCTCTGAATTTGCAGGAACCATCGAGGTACCAGTGGACTTTGTTCTCTGAAATCATTTAAAGTTTAACAATAGTGATGCAATTATCACCGAAGAATGACTATTGCTTCCCTCGGAAAGATAAGGAGTTAATGGTGAAATCGAACAATTTCGGGATAAGTAATTTAATTTTCTTCACATAGTACTTATTATTTGGCGGGATTTTTTATTTTTATGTATTGTTTACATAGCAATTGATGTCACAGGTGCACTGCACGTGTCAAGGACATTGTTTCAGATGAACTTTAAGAGCACTGAAAAGCCACTGCAGCATTATTGTAACCCGTTGCGAATTATGTCTTGCTTACCTACAGTGCAATCTTTTTTATCAAAATTTACATTTGGCATGGATCTCGGCTAGTTGGTGTTCTCCTCTGCCCCACAGATGTCACTTCATCTGATTCGTCTATGGAGATTTGGGTGTCTCACATAGATTAATTAGATTCTAGATAATTTATAATAAACTATATTTATTCAGTCAACGTTAATAATAATGATTTTAGTACAAAAGAATGCGAGAATGCCACAGCTGTGGTGGTTAACTTAAGTTGAGAGATAAGTATCAATACTGTAGAGTTGACTCGTCACTCTGGTCTCGGGACGAGTATTTGCTTGAGCCGCTGGCAGGCTCGGTCGGTAACTAGGGGAACTGATGAGGCTGAGCCGCCACACGTCCATGAAAAAAAAAACCTTAAAAACCACGTGTGCAGTTCTCTACCATCAACTGGAGTGGAATGAATTCTGTAGAAACTTGAAGTTGCAATGAGTTGAAAGGGAAAAGAATCGATTCAAAATGAGAACTGAAGCGTTGAAATTGTACAAAGACCTCCTCAGATATAGTAAACAATTGAAATTCACGGATCAAAAATATTTTGTGCACAGAGTGCGAAAAGATTTCTTGAAAAATCGACCACTCGAGGATATTAAAGATATTCAGTTTCATATTGAGGTAAATAAGACATTTGTGTAATCGAATTGAACTGCAAAATCGAATTCTAATGAAAATGTTTTCTACAGAAAGGTCAACAATTGCTGAAGAACAAGAAAGTTGTCTAAACTTCGCCTGCAAACAATTATGTTGAATAGATTTCTGATAGTACAAGTACGTTTTAAATCGTTCAAAAAATTCTTGGACTTCTCTCGAGTTCCTAAATTGGACGAAAATGATCTTGAAGAGCAGTATGTGAGGGGCAGTGGGCCAGGTGGTCAGGCGACAAATAAAACAAGTAACGCCGTTGTTCTGAAACACAAACCCAGTGGAATAGTTGTCAAGTGTCATCAATCAAGAAGTTTATGGGACAATAAGAAAATGGCTCGTGAGATATTAATAATGAAATTGGACAGTAAACTTAACGGAGAATTTTCAATTGAGAATCAGGAGCGTAAGCTCCTTGCTAAACAATCAGCAGATCGTACTCGAAAGAGAAATAAATTATTGGAGTTGAAGAGAGAATTCAAGGAGCGAGAGGGATTAGATTGACTCAGATATTTCATCCTGTATTTCTCTTTTTTACAACGAAGTATTTCCATTAATTCGACTATAAAATATGAAAAAATTGGTACACACATTTTGTTTGAACAGAAAATAAACAGAAAAACATAAAAAAAACATGATATATTTTATTAATGTCCTGCGCGGCTCGTGACTCACAAGAAATGACAGGAAAAATGATTTTGAGAGGAGAAAGTACAGTATCGTAAAGCTGTATCCAGTCTTCAATCCCGTATCATCAAGGGAGGGGGGGGGGAGNGAAATAAAAAAAAAGATATTTACATTTTTAGCGGGAAAATTAAAACATTATAAAATCCATTAGCTCTATCTGTTTCTCGTCAAAACAATAATTCATGAAGGGCATTAATGTTACCTTTGAAAAAAAAGCAATGACGGTAATAGTAATATTAATAATAATAATACAATCGAGGGTTTTACAATATGAAAGGACGTTAAATACTAAAGTACATAAGACAAATACGGATCTTCTCACTTTGTACATTAAAAGTTCATTATATTGATTAATCTAATCGTGATTAAATGTTCAATATTCACAGGAAAATTACTAAAAATGTAATTCAATTAATTTTTTTTTTTACACCGGTTCCTTGGTTAAAACCACTGATTTCATACAGTCCTCTCAACTGTCTTTCATCCATCTACCGAATGGACCCCTCGATCGTTTGTAACGTTTAGCTGGGGGTGAATTACGAGATCTTGGTGAACTGGAACTTCTCAATCGGCGATTACTCGCTACTGTAACCGATAGAATACTGTGATCCATATCCACTTGGTCATCGATTTTCATTACCCTTACGACAGGTTGAAATTCAATGCTTGAGCGTCTCTGCTGCATCTCCCCTGTGTGCTGAGGGACTGGACTTATTCTCTCTGACAGTGGACTCTCGACTTCTGCATCTAAAGACTCCTTTTTGCAGGTTTCAGTGTCAAATGTCGAGTCACCTGAGGTACTTTTACGCTGACGCGTTCGTGTCTTTATCGTTGACTTCTTGATAATCTTGGTTGAATTGGCACATTCTTTCCTCGTGCATTCAGCATCACTCTGACTACCAACTGAATTTGTTTCTGCTTCAGTGATATCCGAAGTTTTGCTCTCACGATCGTCAGCTTCAGGCTGTCTACGTTTATTAGCTAATGTTCCAGTAGTGTAATTCTTTCGTGATATTATAGTGGATTGGCTCTTCCTTCTGAACCCAGAATCATCGTTTTCAATTTCAAAATGAGAATCTATAGTGTCTGACGAGGAAGGTCTCCCTGATTCTCTATTTGTATCTCGACGCCTTCGAGTCGAGGATTTCGATGCAATATGCTGCTTAGTGGGGGATGATTTGTTATCATTCCTGAACACATTCTCGTGGTTCTCGTCGTTAGATGTTTTCTCTTGTTCACACTTGGATGGGGGACTTTCGACAAAGTCAGTTGGTGGGGCTTTAGTTCGATCACATTTGACAAGTTTATCCCTTTCTTGATCGAACTCTTCGTCGTCTTCCTCCTCCTCGTCCTCTTCCTCTTCCTCCTCTTCTTCACCAGCAGTGCCTTGACGTCGATGGGGCGGAGCTGGGAGATTCTCCCTCTCAGAATCAACGTCCTGAGTGATTGCTGGTTTCACTTGTAATCTTCTGCGGATTCTACCTGGCCAACCAGTACGATTTTTCCGCCGTTTCCTTCGCTTCAAGGGGGACTCAATCAGCAACTCTCCACATTCAGAACTAGCGCAGGATGAGTTGTCTATGCCAGTCATGTGTTGATGGCAATTGTCCAGAAGGTCCAGGAGATTATCAGGAGCTCCGGGTATTCGTAGGGTACAGGACGAGGGGCTTTTGAAGTCCTTCTCAGGCTCAGGCTGTTCGTTTTCAATTATCGTTGCCATCGTATCGACCTCGAAAGAGTCGTCGATGAGACCCCCATCGGCATTCAGCATGTCATCTATGCTCTTGGCTATTTTATGTATCTCCAGATCAGTACTAGATTTGTCAGACTTGTCAGATTTGTCAGATTTATCTGGTTTATCGGGTTTAGGCGTCGTAGTTCGTGATCGTGACTCCTCATCAGCTACACTAGTACTCGAAGAGTGAGACTGCTGCTCTCTCTTACGAATTATCGTGGACATGATGGCTAGAGTGGAGGCGTGACACCTCGGGCTCTTCCTCGGTGATCTACCAAAACAATTTGCTTTAGCAGCCTTGATTTTCTTCCTAGCGTCGTTTTTCTGATAAAGCTTGAGTAGATTCTCGTGAAAATTCTCCATCTCGTAGGGTAAAAGAAAGGGTTTCTTCCAGTCTGATTCACTGGAAAAATGCCAGAACTCAGCCCCCTCATCCTGACGCTGATAAGTTTGATACCACGGCTCAGATTTCGGTACAGATTCAAAGGAAAACTTCATTTTTTCAACTTCAGCCGAAGGCTTGGACGGATAAAGTTTTTCACAATTCACGTTACTATCACTCTTTTCCCCATTATTGTCTCTATTATCAGTGCCTGATTCGAGCTGAGGGGAGCTCACTTTGGGGGATTCATCGTCGTGAAACACTTGAACAATACTACTTGATAATTCTTCACCGGTAGCTGTTGGTGAGCCTTGAAATCTCAGTCTGCTACCGGGTGTCTCGAATTTGTAATAGTCTGTGTTATCCTTTATTAACGCCTCTGCTTGTGTGCGTCTTCTCTTTCTTGCACGTCCCATGTACATGGAGTCTTGAGAGTCATCGTCCATGGGCTCTGGCTTCGGAGGGCTATTCGTTGGCGATGATACGATAATTGACGAGGTTTGACGTTCACAATCACTCTCGGTGTCTCCTGGTAAAACACTACTGCTACTAACATTGTCATCGCCGTTCTCACTGGCGTCTGTGGAGTCGTCTCGTCTCGAATCACCGAACATGAACGATTCAGCCTCATCACTCAACAGTGATAACTCGGATTTTCTCACTCTCTTGAATCGCACCACCACCGGTTTTTCACTGGACGGCTCGTCATCCTTTTTTGTTGTTTCTTCTGGCTCTTTGATTCTATCCTCAGGTTCTTTAGACTCTTTGATCGGGGGAGCACTTGGGGCGTTACTCCAATGAGCTGTACTTGATCGCAACTTGTTACCGAGTACCTCAACCTTGTAGTAAGCGCGATTATCCTCGATCAGACGTTCCTCAACTGACAGTCTCTGACGTGTTCTCATCGATCTCATGCCACGTTTTGGTAATTTGGGTTTAGATTTCTCCTCCTGTTTTTCACTCTCTGAGATTCTTATTGGTCGCTGGATTTTTTCCGGAGATTTCACTTGGTTACAGTCTGGCAATTCAAGCACAGGTTCTTCTATTTCATCTTTATTGGGCTCTCCTTCATCAACAGGATTCAGTGGATCAGGGAGATTTGCTACTGGAGACTTTGCAGAACCGTTTACGAGCACTGCTTTCCCTGGGGATTTCTCCTCAGGCTCTCCATCCAGTCTAGAGTCACCATTAACAGTTTTGGGGCCCAATGAATTGTCTGGGGCCTCGTCCCGTCCATTCTCGAAAGGATATTTCTTCTCCTTTCTCTCTTCTACTCTCGATAATTGAGATTTTTTGTCACTCTGGCTACGTTCCTTACTCTTTATCGACCTAGCATCGTTCAGCTCACTCAGAGGACTCTTCTCCTCTACAATTGAACTCTTAGAGTCTACCTCGTCGTCCACACAGTTCTTATTCTCTGGTGGATCGTCCTCCTCAATCCATATTGTTCCTTTAGCTCGTTTTTTAATTGTAAAACCATCAAACTTATCGTAAAATTTGTCCGATTTTTCAACTTCATGTCTTGGACTACCTTTTGAACGCAACAAATGTCCACTCTCATGTTTAGTTCGCGCTCGTAAATTATGGGGTGAGCTTAATTTAAGATTAAGCTTACGTCTTGCACCATTGCACTGCACCATTTTGAGTTCATCAATGTGGTAATCGTTGATGTCTGATTTAACTGTTTTATCGGATTTTGAGTTTCTTATAACAACACTGTGAAGTTTATCAGTTCCATTGGAGAATAAATCCTGCCTGTGACAAACAAAAACATATCCATAATCATTTGTTTCATGTTAGGTAATTGGTTGGAGGGGCAAGTGGGGAAAGTGGACACTGAGAGCTCTTTTTAAAATCTCAATAAATTTTTCATTATTCAGAAAGTGTAGCTCTTCCCCCTCTGTGATGAGCCTTGACTAAACTCAATTGATCAATTTGTTTTTAAATTGTGAGCACCTAATTCAAAAACAAATTGAGAACACACTGTGGGAAGAATAAAAAGCATCCATTTTGCCTCACTTCTTCCTAATTAAAATAATTATACTAACCCGACATCATCGGCCTGATTGAGCTTGAGAAAAGCCTCTACACTTGCGCCTGAATTGATGAGTGTGTCCAGTGACAAAAAATTATCATCATTACGAACAAAAGCGAGATGTTTGTCACTCTGGACGTGTTTGTTGAGATCTCGATAGTCAATTCTACAAATTTCACAGTAACCAGCGACCAGTTGTTCGGATCTTCTGGCTCTTGTTGCCGTAGCACGTGATCTACGTGTCATGTCTCTCTTGGATTCGGATTTATCCTTCTTCTCTGGCTTTATATCGCCCTTCTTTTTGTCGAAGGGGCAAGTGCCCGGCTCACCGTCCAAATTGAGGGTAGGCCAGACTGGCAATTCCAGAAAAACAGGCCTCGTCTCTCGCTTGAAAGACTCAAACTTTATGTACGACTTGTCAAATTCTTTAACTTTAATGTCTTTATCTACTGAATTATTGCGACGAATACACTTGAGATTGGAGTTGTCTCGCAGTGATGAGTATACTTTGTCCAGCCAAATTTGAAAACTTCCGGTAGTCCAAATTGGTATGCCCCAGCTCTGGGCGTTATCGAGAGGATCTACTGAACACTTTTGCGGCTGTGTCAGAGCACGTTCCAACATTGCATCCACTCGCGATTTCTGGGGAGAGTAAAAATCGATAAAATCGTTAGTACTGATTTGAATTATTACTGTGTAAAAAAAAGATGAAGCTGAAACTGGTGGAATATTCGACTGTGAAAAATTCAATTTTTAGCGGATTTTCAAGGGATTAAGGATGAAACAGTCATAGGAGCAAACTCATGACTTGAAAATATTTGTACATCCCCAGATTCCCCTGATTTCAGCTTCAAAAAAAAAGAATTACTCACGGTTCTGTGGGCAGTTTGACCCCTTGTATTTGTTGAGTTTGAGAGGGGACATTCACCGTTCAAGGACGGCGTTGGAGGCGTCAGAGTTGGCGTTTTGATCTCTATACTCCTTAGCGAGGGAGGTCCCCCGCTCCCTCCACTGGCGTAATCCCATTTTCGTTTATCACAATGTGACTGCTCTGATTTTCCGGCTGTATCACTCACAACGAGAGTCACACTTTTAACCAAGAATAATTCAACAGCCTGTAATAAATGAAGAGTCAAATGAATGGGTGCGAGTACTCGAGTACTGAATACCAAATGTTTGCACAATATTTTCAAAATATATTGAACAACTCGAACGACTCCGATGTGGTAAATTGAACACACGAGTGCATCACTCGTTCGATAAAAATAATTTCAATGTGGTGCTCTCACTCTATCGCAACGATAAACAGAAAAAAAAAATGAAGAAACAATTTGGAGTAAAAACATGACGAGTTGTGGTGCACAATTTTCAAAACACTTACAAATTTGAAATTTGTGGAGCAAACTGTAACCAGTGAATTACTATTGCAATATTGGTGTATAACGATAATGTCAGACTTGTAACACTGAAAATGAAGCCGACGTTCTCCACAAAACATACACTCTTTGGCTGAGCATTATTATCATTGGGTCAGCCGACGCCTTTGTCATACGTTATTCATTTTAACCATTTAAACATTGTATTCATAACACTTTATTATCATAATTAATTGCATTAAGTTTCACTTTAAATTATCAGTGCAATCATCATATCGATGGTATTTATCATATGAATTATTCTTGGAACAGAAAAAAAAATGCCAAAGTGTCTCCTCTGTTCCATTGAGCTGTCACGCACAAAATGGCCATTCGCCGTTAACAGCTTGCTAGTTGGCCCTGGAGGCGGCGCTCCTACTTCATCTGCATTATTTTACAGCAATATTGCATGTTAATTCACATTTTTCTACATTTTTTACCACCATTGTCAGTTTTTATTTGTTAATTGTACTAAATGGAGTTTGTTTGAAAAGCACCTTGCTAGATAACGAATTGCTTGTTAAGGATACTTCCGATCATTGCCTCAAGGTGGCGTATTTCTACCCGCCTCTTGCCCCCACAGACCCCCCCGCCTCCCCCCCTTACACAGCAAAACCCCCAGAGAAAAACCCAGATGCCCCCCCAACACGCCTATATCCAATTCTCGCAACACCCGTAAAGCCCCCGACACAAATCCATTGCCTGCATATATTTTTCTTCTTTCATTTTTTTATTCTATTTATTATTTTTCCCTCTCTGTCAACAGAGTGTGTTTGCATTGCAGGCCACAGGGACACATGAAACTCGATATAAAGCATAATTTATTGGGCTCAGATGATCTAGTAGTGGAGAGAATTGAAGGTGAATGAGGATATGTGAATTTATTCGCACAAGTATTTCAGTTGTATCAATTGCATGCACAATCTTTGGTGAATGATCATTGGTTGTTTGAGGGAATTCAATTGACTATAGTAAGTTGGTTTGGAATTGGCGGGAGATGGGTAGAATGCGTAAAGAGGTGGAGGCTGAAATGGGGGAGGGCCTCTTGTGTTACACACTAACCGAATATTCCAGGGATGCTTTAATTAATCAATAAAATACGACAAGTCCACTCACCCCTCCCAAATCCTTTATTTTACCCTCTAGTTTGCTCGCAACTCCATGATTCTTGATGTCGAGATAATAGGTTTTACCGCCCAGCGGTTTGTTCCCCTTTTGCAGGCGAATATCTGAAAATCAAGGGATTGTCGTAATTTTTAATCCTGGCTTTGGTGAATTCTGAGCTCTTTATTTGCGTGAGATTATGTAAGAAATGGTAGACTATTTGGGGAAAATGGGGAGGCATTATTATTGCTCTTGTAATGTGACATAATAAATGAAAACTATAAATAAATAATTGGGGCTCAGGAGTGATGTGACTGACTTACGGGACTTGTTGTCACGCTTTTTGTCCTTGGACGGTGGCTTTTGCTTCTGATTCTGGACCTTTGACGGCGATACCATTCCTACTCGCTGCACCTTGTAACGCGAGGCTTTACTATCTTATTTCGATGTATTTTTTCGTCCACTGAAGCACTTCCCATTCTCCTTATTTGTGGAATTGGGGAATCGGTGGGACTTGTATTTCCAAGGGGACTGAGCACAGTTACATGGGATGCTGAGTTTAATTATCGGTGGAATGCTGAGGTTCCTGATGGATTAAATCGATGAATTCATCAGGAGGTCAGCGGGAATTGTGAGATCACACGAGTCGGCATTATTCACTGTGTTTTTTTTATTCTGCTCGTCGCGGAGACATGGGACATGCGATAATAGTACAATACATGTGAACGTGGCTGTGGGTCGGAGGGAGACAGGGTGGGCAACATAAATTTAAATTCAAACAATAGTTGAAATTGTTCATTCGTTGATTGGAAGTAATAAATGGAGACAATACCATTTTTTTAAAGAAAAAATAGCTGACTCCTTTGAGATGAGTCGTATTTCATTTGCTCAGAAATTTCATAATTTATTCAATTAATTATAAATAATTCAGTAGTGAAGTGGTCAAATGGTTTAAGTCAATTCCATTCTAGCGCCAGTTCTCGATGGATATCTGAAATTTTAAAGGATTTGGCAAAATTTTCCTAATAATCTTTTTTGTAAAGAAAAGTGAAAACTATCGAAAAAGATCCCACAAAAATTTCGCTTTCTTAAATTCCGAGTTATTCAACAAAAACTCAACTGGGAGCTAAGTCGACTTAAAGCGATTGGCCACTTCACTACTGAATCATTGAATAATAATAGATATTCAGATAGGGACAGGCGAATGTCCCAGTATTTTATTCCAGCACTTGCAATTTATCATTTGATCCACAGTTTTGACCCTCCCAGAGTGATTATTTTCCCATCTAAAGTTGTGATGTTTTATTTGTACATTTATCTACTGGGACATTCGCTTCAGTTAAATTACGAAAATATAGGGGAGAGTGGGGTAAAATGGACACTTTTCACTCTTTTAAAAATATTCATAACTCATAAATATATTTATCAATTGAGCTCAGTCTAGGATCATCACAAGGGGGAAGAATTGCCCTTTTTATTTAAAAAAAAAATGATACAATTCAATAAGTCATTAGCATTTGAAAAAAAGTAAAAAGTTTCCATTTTACCCCAACCTCCCCTACGTGTTGAGCAATTCCAACAGAAAATGGTTTATTTATTTTATTAAATTGAATTTTCCAATGCTTGAAATGAAACGGCCACCTCGCGGTGGCGCTGGTGACGCTAAAACCCTAGATTTCTGGAGGATTCTTCACCAATAACGCCATGTTGGCAAAGATTGCTAGATTTTTCCTTCTCCAGCCCATGCGCCTACTTTCACACTGCAAGTCAAACCAGTCAAGTTTCTCCACCTTTGTCGTTAAAGTATCGTCTGGCTCTCCGTTTCATCCATCCACGGAGTGAGATACCTGTGTAATTCTCAGCCGTTTCGGAATAACGCCAGCACCATAATTATTCATTTATTCCGAGTGATAAGTTTCTGGAAAGAAAAATCCATCTGTGACTGTGTCTCGGTGAGTTTTATCATCATTTCATACATTTTGTGGTGATTTAATGTTGATCGTGGGTGAATAGATGAGCCATTTGTCGACAGGCATCAATCGTTTTTACGTGGACACGAGAATTGCCTGGATTGTGAGAAATATCTTTCACTCCATCGTAATAATTTTCCTCAAAAAAATTTGACATCTTAAATTATTCCTTATCGGCTATATTCTAGCAATTGAAGCCCCATAAACGTCATCGGGCATTTTTCTATTCCGTTCTTTGTTTTCTCATGACAAAAACCCGATCGAGGCTGTTGTGTTAGTTTTTTCTCTCTCGTTCTACGCCAGTGATCAAATTATATACAATTCCGTTAAAATCTTCAATAGTATATAATTCCACTGCTCTGTGAGTTTAATACAATATCGGGGAAAAAAAAAGGATACGACTGAGGTTTCACTTTCATTTTTCGGCGTCCGATCATTCGGATACCTGAAATTAGTCAGCTTGGAGAGAACCTTGATTCTCCGGATTGTCTAATCATGAAAAAACGTGTGACAATACGAGTGATAGGATAAACCAGCGAATTTGTGGATATTTAATTTCAACATTTTCGCGTTGTATTCACCGATAATTCACCATTTGCCAGTGCACAGCTATCTTTTCCGTAAAAAAAAAAATAACCTGCGATAACGGCCAGTTAAAAAGAAGGTAATCGGCACTCTTGTTTCCTCAACCAAGGCTTTCTGTAAACTCTAATTCCTATTGCAATTATTTATCTCATTCCTTGAAGAAATTCATTATCTCGTGAGTAGGAAGGGGAGAGAGATAAAAATTATGAGTCGGTGATTGTGGTATAGCGCGCAGTTGATGGGATGAAAATGCGAGAATTGATCTGTGGACCAGGACAAATACAGAGTGGCTATTGACATTGGGTTGACCATAACTGGTGTCATTGATTGAACAATTACCTCTTGACGTCCGGTTTCAGGGGGGTTGGTGGTTCAAGGTCCCAACGAAAACGATGCAATTTCATTTACACAGAGCCCTGGTGAATTCATGAGGAAGTAAATCTTATCGGCTTCCTTTCCTTTAACGGAAAGACATAAATAAATTCAATACTAACGCCTGTAGAATACTTGTTTCCTAGAATTTGTTTACTACGCTTCAACGGCAGTGGTATTTTGCCTGCATTTTCAAACTAGTTATAACATGTTGAAAATATTTTTTGGCGAGTGGCATGGCTCAAGACGATGATGGCACTCAGGGACTTTTTACTAATGTGTAAGAGCGCCTTCAGTTGATTTGACGTTGACTCAAACTTAGCTAGGATTATTTCGTCTGTACGAAGACTACATTGAGCTTGAGAACTCGTCAGTATTTCATAATGAATACGTAAAAGGACATGGATTTAGTACAGATGACACGACGTTGCCATTTAAAAACTCCTTCACATTTATTTATTTTTTGTGATTTTTCGCCCACGGACGATTACTCAATACTTGTTTATCGAAATTTTTCATCGAGTGCAGCAGCAGCAGTTGTGCATTTCAACTGCAATTTCCAACATTCTCTCTGCGTATGAGTTTATTTTCAACTCTTTAAATCCACTTTTGCATGGTAAATGAAAGTGTCGATGATGATTTTGAAAATTCACCATGCATTTGTGGTGAATGAATAACAGTTTTCAGATGATGGTCTCGTTAAAAAAGCGATATTCATCGATACGTTTGCTGGCCAAATATGTATGACTGACGTCACGCCACCGACTCGACACCGTTGAGGACGCCCACCTCACTTTAAACCACGACTGGTACACAGACTCAACTATGGTCTCTTGTTCCGTACATCTTGTACAAGTATATGCCATCAACAAACTTGTCTTCTTTCCGCATTTCCTTCCGTTTCACCAATCACACTTGGATTATTCATTCGTATCCCATTATTTACACATCTATCACTTTGATTTCAAGGGGAGTTGCGCTTGATGATGTGATATAAACAGTGTGGCTGGTGGATTGTTTCATTGAATTGTGTGAATTTTTCTGAATGAAAAGAGAGATGAAATGCTCAAAGTTGGACCGATTGTTGGAGACGCGCCCACGACGACCCACGTACAAACATGAATTGTCCGGTGAATCTATGGTCATACGAGGACGAGGACGAAGGCGATGTCGAGGCCGCCTATATGTTCTCTCATATTTATTTATTTATTTTTTTGTTGATGACAAGTGTTCATATCCTGACTGCAGAATTCATTCGGAAGAAATTTCCACTTAAATTGATCTACATTTTTACCTCAACTGCTGCGAACTTTCACTGGAGTTGTTGCATTGTTTTTTTTTCACTGGATTTTTTTTTAATTCGTGAAATTCTCTGCACTAACTAGACTCAACCGGTCATTTTCGATAGAAATTTTTCACTGTGAGTCATCGAGAGCTCATCGCAGTAGTTTTCAATTGCCTGAGTGAGGAAAATAGATTGAACTTCCTTTTAATCATTTTTCTTTCTCCCATCCACATGTGTGCATTTATGCGGGAGTGTTTGGGTGGTAAAGATATCGCAGTGACCTCCACCTCCGCTTTTCGTTCTATTCTAGACAGCCAACTCGGTTAACTTTAGAATTTTCCATTGGCAAAGTCTTTGGACTTTAAGGGTCCTTTCTACCACTTGCCAAGAGACACCACTTTTCCTCCAGTTTTCTTAAATCATCGGTAATCGTTATGGCGTTAAAATGACTTTGAAATTTTCAATTGACAGGGATCGTCTAATAATCCATCAATTCTCATCGGTATCGTAATGACTTTTATTTATACACAGTTCCGTTGTATTGATTTGTGACACGCATTCGTACACATGATTGAATGGAGGTCAGTGGAGCACGTGTAATTTTCGATTTGAGTAACGAAATCGTGTCAATTTATTCGACTGGCATTCAATTAATTCAGGGGTGATGCAAAATTGTTTATAGTGATTGATTTGTTGTGCTGTGAGTTTTATTGTTATTGCACAGGTGGTCCCCCACCGACTCGCACAGTAGCGAGTGATTGGACTCTCGGCTGAATAATTACAGACTGTTACAATGGTAGACTACTATAAAGTTCTTGAAATCACACGGGTGGCGACTACGGCGGACATCAAGAAGGCGTAAGTACTCGACCATATTTCGATGACATTTTCCGAAATTTATTGGGGAAAAAAAAGGCGCGGCAGGGGGGAAGTGTTTCATTGGAAAGCGAGTTTCAGTAATTGTTGGGGATAATTGCAGAATGAGTTTTTCATTGAGAAACTTCCTGTTGCGTTTTTATTCAGAAGGAAGGAATTATTTTTCTCGAGAAAGAATGACTGATACTGCTTTGTTCGTGCAATTATTCCCTCGAATCTTCGATAATTCTCGGTAGTCTGGGGGAGCCACGGATGTGATGAACTAAATGCAATGTCATATATGGTATTAGAGAGCTAGGCAATGAGGCAGTTGTGTCTTTTGCCCGCCTCGGCCAAGGTTGACATCTCGGCCGAGGGGTCTATGACCGCATTACCCAGGCGTTCACGGGCACGTAATCTTCATCGCCTTTAAAGTGCACTTTCGACTCTCAGACTGAATTTTTTCATTTATACTCTCCCCCTTTCTCCGTGAAAACAATAATTCCGTTTGTTTGTTAATAACGTTATTCTCTTTATTAGTTATCGTAAATTAGCACTGAAATGGCATCCGGATAAAAACCCAGACGATCTCGAGGAGTCGACGAAGAAATTCAAAGAGATCTCGGAGGCGTATGAAGTATTGATTGACGGTGAGTCATATTATTCAAAACTATTCCATAACATGTGGAGTGTTATTAGTCATCTTCTGATGGATCGAAAATTTCCTTTGGCTCGTGATGATGAATTTAATGGTTTTTTTTTTGTTGAGCAGAGAAGAAGAGACGAGTTTACGATCAGTATGGCAAAGAGGGTCTTCAGATTCCTGGCAACAAACGCAGACATGAGGACGAAGATTTCGATCAGTTCCATAACTGGTTTGTGTTCAGAGATCCTGAGGATGTCTTCAGAGAATTTTTCCATGGTTCACCTTTCAACGATCTGTTCGATGGTTTGTGGAGAATTATTCTGTCTGACAATTGACTTTGTCAGTGGTAATTAATGGCAATTAATTGTGATTTGTTGACAGTTCTGAATGGAGCTAATGGACGCAGAGGATTACACAGGCACAGTTCCAGGCACAACACATTGGGCTCACCATTTGGCACACTTGATCTCAGTCTATCGTCGCCTTTTGGATTTTTCGGTAATGGTGGTGATCTTGGTTTTTCGTCATTCAGCAATTTTTCAACGGGCTCGTCACCCAGCTCCGGGGCAGCTGTCAAAAAGACAAGCACATCCACTAGATTCATCAATGGAAAGAAAATAACAACTCACAAGTATGAGATTACCTCGCAATTTCCAATTTTGTTAATTAAATTTCATTGATTTTTTCTTGGTAATTTACTGTCATTTGATTTTAGGGTCGTCGAGGGTGGCAAAGAGACTATAACCTTCTACGAAAACGACGTAATAAAGTCAAGGACAGTCAACGGAGTTCCACAATCAATCACGTACAGTTAAATTATTGTCTCATCTATGTTTGCTTCGTGTTAACCTATCAAGAAATATCCAACCGGAAATGAGAATTCTTCAGCACGTCTTACTAAATATTCATTAAATGAATGACATGAAACGCAGATACATGAGACTTATCTCGCTTTAATTTCATTAATTATTATTAATATACAATAACACAGACGCTGGTCGATGCACTGCATTATTGGATTATTAAAATTATGGATATCTAACATGACTCTTTTCCTCATCACTAGGAGAATCGATGGTTAAAGTATCAATTGGCTTTCTTTCATCGTCATCTACTAAAACAAAAAAATTGAAGCTGTATTATTGAAAAAATTTTCAAAAACAAAATTCAATGAAATAGACAAATCAAAAGGAAAATTGTAGTGATGAGTCTGTTGTTTTGTCAGGTTGAATGAGGCATCGACGAGTCGTCAAGTGAGTGACAAAATCAGCGATACGTCGTCAACTGGTAGCCACGGTGGTCATGCTAGAGACAGTACGAAACAGTTACATACGGATAAATCACGGCTAAAATCCCATCACCATCATCCGCATACGAAGCACGAAAAAACTAAAAGAAAGTGAATTACGAAAGAGAGTGTGAGAGAGAGAAAAAAAAACAGCAAGAACATGCTTCATTCTTAATCACTACTTCCCTTTTATATTTTCGCTGTATGTGACCACCATCCCCCAGCCCCTCTCGTCCATCTGTATACTTTTATTCAATCCAGATTTCACCGCTTGAAAACAATGAAAATGAAATGAAACGTTCTGGCTTTGTGCGGTAATAGCTGTGAATTCATTTGAAAATAAAATTTATAAGTATGAGACATTAACGATAAATGTCTGTCATATGGAGACTTATTCATCTCTGCTACGCAATCTTAGATGTTTGTACTCACAATCGTAGATTATTAAGGACATCTTTTATCGTCATTAGTATCACCTGCGTTAATTGATTAAATGTATGGGTAGAATACAGTCGAGTTAAGGATATGGAAATTCACTATGATGACTGCGCAATGTTCGATGATTTGTTTCGTGACTCTCGTGAATTACGATTAATTGAATCAGGGTGAATTTCACTAGCGCCGTCATGCGTTTTAGGAAAATTTCTTTCTTCGATGATTTATGATATATGTGTATATAATGATAAGAGATAGAGTTTAAGTTTAAAAAAAATACAACTCTTATTATTCAAAAAATAGCTTTTCTATTTAATTAATGTCCTTCTCAACAGCTGGCAAATCAAAAATTCAATCGTCAATGCAACAACGTCGGAACTTTCGAACTAGAGTTGCACGTAACGTTTCTTTAATTGCGGTAGAAATTCAGTAAATAATTGTGTACATTCTTTCATTTTATTCAAGAAACTATGTTTTATTTAATTCATGTCCTCAACAGCTGCAAAAACAAAAATTCAATCGTTAATGCAGCAACTCTGAAACTTTAAGAACTATAGTTGCACATAACATTCATCTAATTACTGTAGAAATTCAGTAAATAGTTATAAAATGTATAGATAATTTAATTCAAAATAGCACCGGGCAGTAATTATGCAGTGATAATTGTTTACATTCTTTCGTTATTTTAGGCGATCAATTCCGGTCACATGAAGGCCATTTGTGTTGGCATATTTGCGCGATTACTTGTGTATCACATTCACACTGTGATGTTTTCGTTAGACCGTTTTTCAAATTTAATTTTACTTCTTTCCGATTGACTGGATGAGACTGGCGACCTTAGCGATGTATTGGGTCTTCGCTTCGTCCTGACTCATTCCCTTTTTTCCATTCCAAGAGTCCCATTTTGCTTTGCCTTTGAAATCCAACATTCCGGGTCGAGCTGTAAAATAGATCCATCAGTGGGATTATTTATTTTCTCCGAAATTATCTCCGAAGTGTAGTGGTAAAACGGTTCAAGTCGACTTAGCTCTTAGCTGAGTTTTCAGAGAATATCTTTGAATCTAAGGGAGATAGCGAAATTTTCGTAGAGATCTTTTCTGTGGCTCTTAATTCGCTCTACGAAAAACTTTATAACAAATATGTTGTTATTCGCCTTAGATTCCGAGATATTTATTGAAAACAGACCAATGGTCAAATTCAACTTAAACCGCAACTTAAATTGCATTTATGCAATTTTCTTACTCGTGTTGCAGTCGCCGACTGTCGCCTGTTTGAAGAGGGCGTAAAGTTCGAGAAGATCAGCATCACCTGGTGCACTGACTAGATCCTTTACGTCCTCAGCGGCTTTGTTGAATGACTGAAATAATCATTAATTCTTATTGCAATGGGAAATCAACAGAACGAATTCCAATTATTTCCGCATTTATTGGCCTTCATCCTGATGATTCAAAAACTCTAGATTGTCTATCATTTTATTTATTACAACTTAAGACTTTCAGTGAATAGTACGAGAATAATTAAAACCTATTTGTTGCAATGATTTCACTCTTCCATCTCAATTTTTGAGGAAGATTCATCAAAATGATTCAAATTACGACTTAAATATTTTACTTTCTTCACAAATGATTACCAAACGATGAACTTTTCATCCTAAATATGATTTCCATTATTTATTCATGACGAGGAAATATTTGGGGTGAAAAAATTAAAGAGACAATGCATTGAATGTGACAACTGCATAATTAATTCATTCTGTAATAAGCACTTTCGCAAATTTCCCGTTTATTTTCGCCATTTCACGCTCACCCCGCGATGTTAAATGCGATATACTGTGTTGTACCACTTCCACTTCGCAAGCTTTTATCACACTTTATGATAAAAAAGATATTTCAAATCGCCAACTTTTAGATACGTTTATCGTGAATTAGTAGAAAAAAAAAAGCTCAAGCGTCGATGAGCCTTGACTCATAACCTTCAATTGCCCGGTACTGTAGGTAACAAGTTATCGAATTGATGACAACTATGCAAATTATTTTTCGAAACAAAAAACCGAAGGCGATCGTTTATATAAATGGACGGACTCACCTCGTCCAGTGACATGGTGCTCGGTCAATTATTTAAAAACTGCCACGTCAGTGAAAGACCTGCGACAACAATTTCATCGATTAATACTTAGATCTCAATTCGAAAGAATTAATTACCAGAGAAATTAGTGACATTGTACCTGTCGATTTCTGCAGTCTCCGTTGATTTTCAAATGGATAACTTGCTTTGATGATTCGATTCAAAGATTCGAACGGCGAGTGAGTGTGGTCATAGGTTCGCCGCGGAATAAAACGGAATGTGCCGATGCCCGGCCACTACCGGGGCGGGGGGGGGGGGAATCCCAAGATAATGCACTATCTGTTGTGATAAAAAATTGTAGACACCGAATAATTCGTGGTCCGTGCTCAGAACGGAAATCTTATTACCGAATTAAAGTGAATAACCACGAATAATTCGTTATCACGTACTCAGAAAGACAATGTTATCAGAATTTATCAGAAATAATCGATACAAAACAGAATTTATCTTGCAGATAGAGCCATTGTAGTTCGCTCGGGCAGATTAGACACTGCAAATTATCTGCATCTCGCGATTCAATGGAACTTTGAACGTGATGGTCTTGTAAATGAGAAGGTCAAAGACTGTTGTATATGCATCAATTTATTTCCATAATTGTAGATAGAAGTAGAATACATTTCCATGGAAATTAAATTATTTGTATTTCGGAATTACTGCATTTGCACAGGTGATGTAGGCCTTCTTCGCGTCATCTTTGGACATTCCCTTCTTCTTATTCCAGTGGTCCCACTTCGCCTTGGCTGGGTGATCCACCGCACTCGAACGTTCTGTTGTTAAGTTTTTTTTAAGTTAAAATAATTCATGCGGAAGTCAGACGAGGTGGCGTGACTTTTTTTTACGTACCAGTGTTTATGTCTCCAAAGGTGGCTTGCTTGAAGAGTGCGTAAAGCTCTAAGGCGTCTGTCTCTAAGAGCCGTTTTGATAGGCTTCTTATCCCCTCTGCAGCTTTAATGAAATCCTGGAAATGTACATTAGTCGGTTTAACGAATGTAATGATGATTTGAGGATTTACGGTGAATGAGTTTGAAAACGAAATCACTGGAATAAATTTAATGATTTGCACTTGACGAGAACTTCTTAATGTTGTTACACAATATAATTTTCACAAATCAACACGTCATTCTGTCGGGAAAAGAGGTAAACTGGACCTTTTCCAATCATCATTTGACTCGATCAAATGACTCAATTTGGATAATTCATGTCTCATTTTAAAGCCTAAAGAAACCTCGGAAATTGAGGAAAAAATTGTTCTCTCTGTTGATCTTGGGGTATTGAAGATTGGAAACAGTTCATCGCACTCTTAATTAAAACTCTAGCGCGATAATACCTGCTCCAGGGCCATTTTTATTCGATATCTTTTCTCGCGGATTTGTCAACGGCTACTGCCAGGATTCTGGGAAATTTCCAGTTTTTAAAAGAAACGAGGGAGAGTCAAAGTCCCACTGTATAATAAGAGGTCGTAGAAGTAAGGGTATACGGATTTTAATTAGAACTTGGAAAAAACTGTGCCGATTCAATTGATGCAAGTGTCACGACAGGGACTTATCTGGGGGAAAAAATAACCGAGAAAAACGTTGACGAGACCACATGTTACATGCAATATATTACATGTGACATTGAGTATAATTATAAAATCCAGGGAGATGATCTTTCAGATTATCTCCGGGGAGATAAATTATTTGATGGATCATTGTACCGCTACGAGAGAACAATTTCAGAGAGAGAAAACATTTTAATATTCAGGAACAGTTCTGTGATTTGTAGAAATCTCTCTCAAACTATTGGTAAAACCGGATATTGACGAGAATAACCCTAATCATCAATGATTTCTATCACTGAAATTTGATATGATAGATTAAAAATGAGAGAATGTCTAAAAATAACTGCTGATGTCACTGGAAACTAGTGATAATGTCGCCAAAAATTAGGGACAAAATTACTGAATTTCTGAATTTCGCAATCGTTGAATTTCACAATCGTAAATCCCTGATCATTGAAGGCCGTGACTATTCGCACCATTGCGTGAATCACTCCCGTACACTCCATACACTCCACGCATGCGTGAAGTTTGTGTGTTTCACGCAGCCGAATTTTCATACTGCTGTGTATTTCACGCAGTTGAAGTTTCATACTACTGTGTGTTTCACGCAGTTGAAGTTTTATACTACTGTGTGTTTCACGCAGTTGTATTTTTATAC